TTACTATTACAACTACTACTACTACTACAAAGACTACTACTACTACTACTACTACTACTACTACTACTACTACTACTACTACTACTACTACTACTACTACTACTACTACTACTACTACTACTACTACTGCTACTACTACTACTACTACTACTACTACTACAACTACTACTACTACGACGACTACTACTGCTACTACTAGTACTGCTGCTGCTACTGCTACTACTACTACTACTACTACTACTACTACTATTACTACTACTACGAGTACTACTACTACTACTACTACTACTACTACTACTACTACTACTACTACTACTACTAGTACTGCTACTAAGACTACTACTACTGCTTGTACTACTACTACTCGCATTTCTTCTTCTACTACTACCTACTTCTCCTACTACTACTACATTCAGTTTCGTACTGTACGCCCTTACCTGCTCGCGTGCCATTCTTCACGTAGATCCCAAACCCTCGATACCCGCTCTCTCCGTCTTCGATCGTGTCCCCCTTGAGGGTCTATCATCATTACCTGCAACGTGTATTGCATGCAGCCCCTGCGGCAGGGTAAGGGAGGTAAGGGAGGACGGATGGTAGAAAGAGGCGGGGAGGAGGGAGGAGGATGGAACACAAGAGAGAGAGAGAGAAAGAGAGAGAGAGAGAGAGCAGCAGGAGGGGGGGCAGGAGCAGAAAGCACGTGGCAGGACCAGACGGGCAGACCGGGCGGGTAGACCCTGACAGGCGGATCGGGAAGGCGGGCCCAGGCGGCCAGGTCGAGCAGGCGGGTTGTTGAGGCGTGCGTCCTGCATGAATTGCGAAGAAGTCTCGGACGATAGCGCGATTTCCAAGTCGGAGGTGGGGGGGGGAGATCGAAGTGGAACGGACAGCCCCCCACCGGGAAATCGCTTTCGGTTTCGTGTTCGCGCGTGCCGCGCGTGCGACCGAGGCGAAGCTGCGCGGGCGGGCGAGAGGAAAGTCTCCTGTGGCTGAGGCGCGGCCGGACCAAATGATTCTCCCTCCGGCAAGCGGTGGCCCGCGGTGTCCCGCCGGAGTCCCGCTTGTGGCTGGGCCCCGGCCGGACCAAATGATTTTCCCTCCGGCAAGCGGTGGTCCGCGGTGTCCCGCCGGTGTCCCGCCAGTGTCCCGCCGGTGTCCCAGTGTCCCATTGGTGCCGAAACGATAGTGAGACCGATGACGGCATCGATTGTGAGATCGATCGTGAAATCGATAGTGAGACCGATAGTGAGATCGATAGTGAGATCGATATTGAGATCGATCGGAGGTTGGGGGGCGAGATCGAAGTGGAACGGAGAGCTCCCCTACCGGGAAATCGATTGCGGTTTCGTGTTCGTGCCGTGCGTGCGGGCGAGGCGAGGCTGCGTGGGCGGGGGAAAGGAAATTATCCTGTGGCTTGGCCGCGGCTGGACCAAAAGGTTTTCCGCCCGGCAACCGGTGGCGCGCGGTGTCCCGCCGGTGTCCCGCTGGTGTCCCGCTGGTGTCCCGCCGGTGTCCCGTCGTGGCTGGGCCGCGGCCGGACCAAAAGGTTCTCCGCCTGGCAGCAGGTGGCGCGCGGTGCCTCGCCGGTGTCCCGCTGGTGTCCCGTTGGTGTCCCGCCAGGGTCCCGTCGTTGTCCCGTGGTGTCCCGTGGGGAGATCGATAGTGAGATCGATAGTGAGATCGATAATGAGACCTGTAGTGAGATCGTTAGTGAGATCTATAGTGAGAAATCGATAATGAGATCTATAGTGAGATCGATCGTGATGTCGATCGTGAGATCGATGAGACCGATAGTGGGATCGATCGAGTGGGATCGATAACGAGACCGATAGTGGAATCGATAGTGCGATGAACAGTGATATCGAAAACGATATCTTTAGTAAGACCGATAGCAAGATCGATACTGGGATCGATCGTGGGATGGCTAGTGAGATCGACAGTGACATCGATTGTGTCCCGTCGGTGTCCCATCGGTGTCCCGTCGGTGTCCCGTGATTTCTAGAGGGGAGGGGGGGGAATGGTACCAAGGCGCCCAAGAGCGAAAGGTGACGTAAACAACTCGACACCAAGGCTCCCAAGAGCGAGCGGCAACGCAACGATCTCCACTGGCATCGTCAGAACAACAATCACCACTATTGCCCATTGCTGGCCCCCTTCCCCCCAACCTCCTTATCACCCGCAGGGTGGTCGTATAGGTGAATAGCAAGATAGGCCAAAACGAAAGCGTGATTCCCGAGTGTCGAGGACGCGGCGTCTCACTAGATTGCGAGGAAGTCCCACGCGAGAGTCCGATGTCTGCACACATTGCGGGGAAGTTCCGCGCGAGAGCACGATGTGTGAATAATTTGTGGGGACGTATCAGGCGGGAGCCGTTGTTGTTGTAAGCCGTGGGCCAGGGGCGCAGTTCAATGGCAACTCGCCTAAAAAGAAAAGGGCGCGAGCCCTGGGAGAAACAGTTGAATTGGAAAGATGTGGCGCTTACCGGGGAGGAGGGATCAACAACAGTTGTTTTTAGAAACGAGTATTCAACAACAATACCACGAACATCAACAGCAGCAGCGACAGCAACAGCAGCAGCAACAAAAAACATAGCAACAGTAACGACAGCACTGACAACAACAACGCCAACACATACAACAACATCAACAAGAACACCATCAGCAGCAGCAACAGCAGCAGCAACAGTAGCAGCAACAACAGCAGCAACAACAACAACAACAATAGCAACAGCAACAGCAGCAGCAACAGCAACATCAACAGCAACGGCAACAGCAGCAGCAATAACAACAACAACAACAACAACAGCAACAACAAGCAACAGTCCCAACTGCATGCTCCTAGTCGAGGTTGGGCGGCGGCGGCGACGCCGCGCTGCCGCGGGCGCGAGGCCCGCCGTCGCCCCTGGCCGCTGCGGGCCCCGCGCCGCCGTCGCTGGCGGTCGGCGTGCGCGCCTCGCGGCTGCGCGCCGCGGCGGCGCGGCCCCCGTCCAAGGAGGGCGCGGAGCGCGAGGACGTTTGGGCCTTCCACCCATTCCTCCTCCTCCTCCTCCTCCTCCTTCTCCTCCTCCTCCTCCTCCGTAACCAGTTTGGGTCACGTGCTGCGGCTGCTTCGGCTCAGCCCGTGCTCGGAGGGCATTCGGCGATGGCGCGGAGTGCCCTGCGGGGCGCCGCCGCGGCGCGAGACGCTGAAGAAGGTCCTCTGAAGCGCCTCACAAAGGAGGTCGAGGCGCTGAAGAAGCGGGCGGATGTGGCAGAACGTGGCATCGAGGTCATGGTCGGCAATGCGGATGTGGCTATGTGGGTGTGCGCGCTGCTGCCCGCGCTGACGAACCTCGTGTCGGGCTGCCCGCCCAAATGGATATATCGGATTCGTCGTAACGTTGCCCTACACGCCGATGCCCAGGGTGTCGATCTCGTGCATGCTAGCAGCCGTGAACTACGTGGTGTCTAAGGCGGGGCTCGCTTGGAGGCGCGGCAGGCGCGGGGCTTCCAGATGTCTGCGAACGCGCCAGGCTTTGTTCCGAGCGTAGAGTGCCGGTCGAACGATGGGAAGATGGTTACGTTTTCGTCGTCGGACGCGGCGTCCTTCAGCCCGGCAGCGGACCACCTCGCGGGGAAGTTCGGCCTGGGCTGTACGTGCGGGGCGGTGATCTTCCGTGGCGTGAGGGTCCCCCCTTACCAGTCGGGCAGAGAACAGTGCGCGTTCGAGCCCAGGCTGGTCGCGTGCTCGGTTAGACATCGCACACAAGTGGTTGCGCGGCGGCCCTGACGAGGAGCTGAAGTATTGCGGGACGAACCATCGGTGCACACCCGTCGAGGATGTTTCCGCCGCCGATTCCGAGTTCTGCACGCTCGCTGCCGCCGAGTCCGCCGCCAGGGCGGCCCGACTCTTTGAGGGGCACTCTTCTGAAGCAGCAGGCGGTGGTGGCTGCGGGCGGCTCCCCTGTGATGGGGTGCCCCCCCGCTGAGGAAGGCTCTGAGGGCGAGCAGGCGACCGCGGCTGGACGCGCTGCTGCTGGGCGGCTGGGCGGCGACTGGGCGCGCGCCCCGCTGCTCCTCCTGTCCCTCATCATCGACGTGGGGCTGCTGATGCCGATCGTGTGGCAGGCCTGGTTCGCCTGGGCGGTGTTCGCGCTTCATGGCGAGGGGCCCGATGTCTACATGTACGATGGTACCGGGTGCGTCGTGGACTGGGCCTTGGCCGAGGATTCGGAGAGCTGGGTCTTTACCAGCCCGAGCCGCCTCGCCGTCGAGCAGTTCTTCTTCAGGCTGTTCGAGCGCAGCCTCGCGATGAGCGATTCTGAATCTGCGTATGGCGAGCCGACGATGGGGCACCCCGACGGCGGCGCGAGCTTGGAGGACGTCGTCCTCCAGAGCGAGGCCGAGGGCATCGCCCTCGAGTCCGTGCACGACTTTACGGGAGCGCCCGCATCAGGCTGGCCTACTTCCTGAAGGGCGTGTGCCTCTTCCGGGTTGAGGGCGGGGTCGGCGACCCCTGGGTGGCTGGTCTCCCGCTGGTTCTGCATCGGTTTCCTGGCCAGCGGCCCCATCGACGTGTTTTGGAAGGGGTGCGCCGCGGACTTGGGCTCGTGCGGTCGCGCGAAAGCGAGCCCCCTCCATGGGGGCGGCCTTTGGAGGCCTTTTGGTTGCCCGTCTGTCCCCGCGGGGGTGGTTTCCGTTTCCCTGGCTTGCCCTCGGGGTAGGCCAGGGACGTGACGGATGTTTGTCGGGCTTTTTCGGGGCCCTTCCTTCGTCGCCTCCGCGCTTGCGGCGGCGCGGGAACCGACCGACATCTGGAGCCCTGGCGGTCGTCTGCGAGCAGACGGCCGCCATGGCCTCTTTGCTGGTGTTCCATCCTTCCCTCCTCCTCCCCCTCCCTTCCTCCTCCTCCTCCTTTTCCCTCCTCTCCCTCCTCCTCCTCCTCCTCCACCTCCTCCTCCTCCACCTCCTCCTTCCTCTCCTCCTCCTCCTCCTCCTCCTCCTCCACCTCCTCCTCCTGATCCTGATATTCCTCCTCCTCCTCCTCTTCCTCCTCCTCCTCGTCCTCCTCCTCCTCCACCTCCTCCCCCTCCTGCTCCTGCTCCTCCTCCACTCGCGCGCGCTCCCGCGCGCGAGCGGGGTGGGAGGGCGGGGGGGAAGCGCCCAGAGATCCGAGGCTCCAAGACAAAAACTTGGAGAAGACGGTGTTGTTTTCGGCCTCTGGGGCCCTCGCCGGGCCTCGAGAGCGTCAGGAAAACTACTCAAGACGAAAAGCCGGCCCTTGGGAAGTGGCCCAGACCTCTGGGGCCCACGCATCCTAAAAATTGGAGCAGCCGGATGTTTGGGCACATGGGGTCCGAACCTCGCAAGTTATAAAACGCCGAAGTTTCCGACTTTGCTGCCGTGTTCGGCAGTGTTCGAAAGCTTTCGAGTCCGAGTCCCAGGGTGGTTTCCATCGGCTGCGCCTCGTCGCGAGCGGTTCGGGGTTGCCCAAATCGTCCCGAACGCCCGCCAGAGACCCGAGCTATGACCCGCAACCTGGACGACGAACCAGTCCGAGCAGATGGGGTCGGAGGGTCGCGCCGCATAGCCGATGCATCGGCGATGCGGATCGATGTGGAGCGCAATTTTCTCCACACCGACCGCGCCGACGCCTCGGCGATGCGGCGCGACTCTCCGACCCCATCTAACCGTGAAAGATCTTTAGAGCCCCCCCATAGCAGGCTGTAACTACTGTTCGGCGGCCTTATTGAATGACAGGGGCCCCACCAATAGGGAATAACTATTTTGTTCAACGGCACCCGCCGCGCAACAACGATGACGGCAGCAACGACTACGATTGCGACTATGAGGAGGAGGAGGAGGAAGAAAAGGAGGATGAGGCGAAGGAGGAGCTTTTGGGACCAGTCCTAGTCACCGCCGAGAGAAAAGGGGGGCAATCAAAACGAATGACCTTTAGCGATTACCCGGACTGGCTCGTCGTCCAGTTTTTGGGTCACTCGGGTCTCCGGCGGCAGTTCGAGCCGATTTGGGCACCCACGACCCGCTCGCGACGAGACGCAACCGATGGAAACCACCCCGAGACTCGAAAACTTTCGAGAACTGCCGAAAACGGTCGCAAGCTCGGAAACTGCGGAAAGTGTAGAGAACTTGCGAGACTCAGACCTCATCTGAGCGGCGCAAAAACACGCGTTCGACTGCGCCGACATTGGCGCGTAAGCAGCCCGCGCAAGGTCGCGCGTAAACGCCTTCTCAAAAGTAGCGTGCCGCGCTGGCGGGCCGTGTAAGCCACCGCGTAAGGTCGCTGTGCCATCTCGATGTAAGTTAATCAACACGCTTCTTTATGAAATAGCTTGAACAAACATGTGCATGTACTTGTTTGGGGTATTGCCTAAATCTCAAGACACCTGTGGGTATTATCACTGCACCTTGTTTTGCAATGTATCGCAGTAGAGACCTGTTTTTGATCGTCGCTCATCTGGGAGGCCTCTAGGACTGCCCCCCTACGCCTTGGGCTGCAGAGAGGAGCGGCGGGCGCCGCACCGCGTTCAGCGGCGGCCCGCGGCCGCGGGCGCAGCTGCCCCGTTCGTCAAGCACTCTGCGGTCGGGGTGCTGGCTGGGCGTCCCGAAGCCGCCCGTGGCGAGGAAGTCTCTCCTGAACATGTCGAAGAAGAAACAACGCCATAAACATAAACAACTTCTGGCGCTCCGCCTCCGCGCGGACTGGGCCCCCCCCCCCCGGCGGCGCCTCCGGCGCTGCCCGTCGGGGCGCTCCGCGCGCCAGGGCCCTGAGCATCCGGATACTGAAAAAGTTCTGGAGTCCAGAACTTTTCTGGATCAAACCAAGACCCCTAAAAGTTCATGATTAGATCCTTAGCTGTTACAGATTGTGCAAGATATGCAGTATAATGTACTATAGTTGGTTTAACGACATATGGCGTATTATAGTAGGCGGCGTGCTGCGAGTATCCTCGATGTCGCATGTGAGCGTATGTGCACGTTTATATATATATATATGTAAATAAAAACGGTGCTTGTACTTAGTGTTTGTTACTTTGCTCTCTAAGGATATCGTGGGATAACTTATTGGTCCGAGGCAACGCTGGCTACGAGAAGCAAACAGAGGTCAGCCTAAGAGCAGACAAACAAAGGTTTACATGGACCCCCTGGCCACTGAAGGGGGATGGGGGATGCGAAGTCTCAGTAATATTATATTGGGATAAAGGGGGAAGGTCCGAGCGGCTGTTTGCCTTAATCTTTCTAATATACGGCGTACTTTCGCACAGAAATACCACCTGCCCCCCTCCCCGCCCTCCGAAAGGACCGCCAAACAGCCCCCTAACAGCCCCATAAACAGCCCCCAGGCAACCCCCGAAAGGACCCCCCCACACACACACACACAGCTCCCAAACACATTGTAGAGGCGGCCTTTCCGAAGCAGGTCGGCCGCCTGGTTTCTTTTTGTCCTCTCTCAATTATCTCTCACGCTGGTCGCGTGGAATTGTGTCGTGCCCCCTCGTGGTTTGCGCGCCTGGGATGCGGCTCAAAAGCTGTATCGGTTGCTCGTGGTTCCGTCGTGCCGCTGGCATGGAGCTGAAGTCGTGCATCCACCTCGCATAATCACCCCACCGTTACCATTTAGCTCAAACAGTATTCTCACACATCCATACATGATTTCATTGTTCCTGTTCATCCTTACGTGTGTTTTGCCAACAATGTCATTTGGTTCTAAAACAGATGACAAGTCTAGAGCAGTCCCCGAAACGCCTCAAGAGTTGATCAACGATGCATTTTCAAAATACGTTTGTCAAACGACAGATTCAGATATGCTCGAGCTCGGCCAGTATTCGTGGCTGGACGACCCGAAGGCCGCCCGGCCAAACGACCTGATGAAAGTCAAGGTGTTGTTGGTGGAGTTATTTCGGGCAGAACATCGAGGCATATTCAAGCCCATGGCTCTGCAGGCGGCTTTTGCACCAGATGGTGGTCGACTCTCCTTTGCGCAAAATCAGCAAGAGCTCATTTTCATCCAGAGTTTGGTCTAAATACATGGGGAACGCGTGTGGCGTAATGCTACGACATTGTAGACTTTTGGTGGAGTCCACCGATGCTTCCAGGCGGGCTTGCAATACCGTGGAAGGTGGCACTGAAAAAGGGAACGAGTTTGCGCTGGTTGTCAAAGATATGATCGCTGCGCGTGGCGGTGCGTCGAGCTCGAGTGCACAATGCTCGCTTGTAGAATCGTGCCCGCCACCGAGACCGAAAACACCCTCGGACATCTCATAGGAACGCAAACTTGAAGTACAAGTGTCAGACGTATCTTTGATGTCCGAGATGACCGACATTTCGAAAGAATCCGAAATTTACGACGGTGACCGTATTGATGCCCAGGCACTGGCATAATCAGTCACGCCAGCGCCGACTGCGTGAGGAGCTATGAAAAATATGGTCAAGGATAAAACAAAAATGGCAAACAACACATCGGCAATTGAGGAATCACCATCCTTTAGCAAAGTGAAGTTGTGCTTGTACACGGAAAATCTATCTTTTGATGAAGAAGGAAGACAAGTGGCGTCTTATGTGTGAGGCGAGTCAAAAGAAAACCAGTCACCAGGCTGTTGTTGCCACTCCCTTGTTCAAGATGTGTGTCAAAACCAGAAAGCTAACCGAGGAGAAAGTAGTCGCAATGCGGGATGATCGTCTGCGCGATTTGGCGGCAGGCAAGGCTGCTGCTGGAATTCCCACGAGCAGCGAGGCGGCACGTGCAGACGCGAGCAAGCTTGATAGTTTGTTTGCCCAGTCGGATGGAGCTGGGCGCGAAATTGCATCCAGCGGCGAGTCCGAAGTTGCCGCAAGCAGCCTGTCCCCCCTGGAGTTCGAGGCCAACTAGGGTGCATGCGAGTCTCGAAACAGCCCCCCCCCCCCCCCCCCCCCCCCCCCCCCGAGGTCCTCACTACTTTCTCAAGAGGCGTACGCCATTCCGCCGACCCCCCTTTACTACATAGTTCCTACTACTCACTATTCACGACTACGACTTTCTACTGACTACTTACTACTTAATATTACTTACTTCTTACTACTTACTACTTACTTACGTACGCCTTACTACCTTTCGCCAAGAACGCCCAAGAGTCCTCCAAGATGGCCCCATGACAACCCTAGAAGCCCCCAGAGGGCCCCAAGAAGGCCCCAAGACGGCCCAAGAGGCCCCCAAGACGCACAATATGGCCTCCAGGACGGCCAATATGGCCTCCAAGATGCCTCCAAGACTGCCAAGATGGCCTCCAAGACGGCTAAGATGGCCCCAAGATGACAACACCAAAAACGTCCATTGCCGTACGTTCGGTGGGCTCACCGAGGCTTCACTTTAGTTTCTGGTCAACGTTCATAACGCAAAAACCGGCCCCATCTCGCCCGTGGCCGTTCTGGCTCAAGCCATTCTGACTCTGGTCGAGGATAGCCACCGCAATACGTTTGCAGAGATATCAGAGACTCGTCACTCGCGCAGGTGATGACAAAGAGGAAGCCAGCTGCGTCTCGCGCTGGAGGTCGAGCTGCCAAAAGGCCAGCGGCCTACGTCCCAGAGGACGACGGCGACATCAACGAGGAAGATCGCATCTGGGGGCCGGATGGGGCAGGAGAGGAGTAAGACTTCGAGGAAGACCCCGTGATGGAGGTCTCGCGCGCCACCTTGAGGCGCCCTGCCGCAGCGACCGCCGACAACGTGGACAGCGGCCTCCTGGGCTCTCAGATGGAGACGATGAAAATCCGTTGCCAACAGAATTAAATCACGGATCCGTCCATGGAGGTATTGGACAAGTACCTCTACACCGCGGCTCTGAAGTCGGGCGCTTGGCAGAAGCTGAAGCAGGTCCGCGGCGATGAGGACATGTCTGTGCAAGAAGCATGGGCTGCTCTATGCGATTCCAAGTCTGGCAAAAAGACCGAGATCAAGAACGGAGTGCTTTTCCACTTCAATCGCGGGTGCAAACAATGGGCCGAGCGCATCGAGAAGCAGGTGCAGACCCTGAAGAGCACTGAGAAGCGCGAGGTCGCCAAGCAGGAGTTCACCAGGGCCGAGCTGGAGAGCATCCACGGCTTCGAGGAGACAGACGAGTTCATCAAAACAGTTGAGTTCGTCGAGTTCACCGATGAGTGAGGCGACCTTGTCTACGTGAAGTCGACCAAGAAGTTCTCCCAGATCCCGTCCAAGGAGAAGGCGAAAGTCAACGAGAGGCACCCTCTTCTCGTCTTCTTCGTTGTGCCGATGTTTCTGTTATGGGTTTCTTCCGGCGTGATGTTTGGGGCCAGGCCTAATTCCCACGCGCGAGCGCATCGTGCGGGAATTAGGTTTGGCCCCGAAGCTCACGCGGACCCTCGGGGAAAAGCTCAGCGGGGGTCCTCCTCGCCCCTCGCCCAGCGCCGGCCGCGCCCCAACCTCGCGGTGCCAGTGCAGGGCGAAAAAGCATTACACTTGCATTATAATGCCGTTATAATGCCCGTGTGGCATGTTTTTTGCATTGCGCTGGCACCGACTGAGGATGGGGCGGGACGGCGACGTGCCCGCCAGGCAGCGGCGCATCGGCGATGCGGACCACGAGACCGCCATCGCGGATGGGGGCGTCGCGTGGGAGTCGGGCGCCGCCGCCTTCTTCGGCGCGCCGAAGGCGAAGGCGAAGGCGAAGGCGATCAAAGGCGAGAAGCAGCAGAATGCACTCAACGACGCAAAGCCCGAGGACGATCGCAAGCCGAAGGAACAGAGCTCTGAGCAGAAAATGGCAGCGGTCGCGAACAAGACTGGCAACCTGATGACGAAATTGACGACGGCGCAGATCACGTGCAGCAAGGACCCGATGGCGAAAGCAGTGGCCTCTTCGATCAAAACAGCCATCGATGACCTTGCCAAGACCAACAAGGCAAGCATGAAGCTGACCACGGGGGCCGCGTCGAGCAGCGACGTCAACAAGGCAGTGCGGCTCATCAACCAGAATGCCGAGAAGGCGAAGACGCTGTTGTTTAAGGCAAAACCTTTCAGTGCCAAGAAATAGTCGACATACCGTCGAGGTCGAGGCTGATTCCGATTGGACGTTTCGGCAGACATGAGCTGATGGTAATGTTTTGAGGTGCCCCGTCTGCGCGGATGCAGTTGGCTCTCGTGCAGCGCCGGATGCAATGTTCAACGTGGATTGGTCTGCGCGCGCGCTATGGAGCGTGCCCTCGCCTTGCCGCTCTCTTCGGTCTCCCCTCTGCCTACGGGGGCTCACGAACATATGATTCCTGGTTCCCTTTCAGACGGGCCCTGGAGGGCTTTTCTGTAGGGCACCAAGATGGGCCCCGAGAGGGCCCCCGCCCGCGGGAGGGGACAACTTGCAAAAACAAATCCCCGCCAAGCAACCTGACAGCGATGTGTAGGAGAATATCTGGAAGCATTCCCCTTTGATATTCAGATGAGAATCCAGTTGTAGAATTTTGCTGTTCTTGCAGTCGCAGTCGCATTCGCGATGACAGTCGCAGCGGCAACGACAGTCGCAGTCACAGCCTCAGCCTCAGCCTGCCTCAGCCTCAGCCTCAGCCTGCCTCAGCCTCAGCCTGCCTCAGCCTCTCAGCCTCAGCCTGCTTCAGCCTCATCATCAGTCTGTCTCCAGCGTCGGCCTCAGCCGCAGCCTGCCTCAGCCTCAGCCTGCATCAGCCTCAGCCTCAGCCTCAGCCTGCCTCAGCCTCAGCCTGCATCAGCCTCAGCCTCAGCCTGCCTCTGCCTCAGCCTCAGCCTGCTTCAGCCTCGGCCTCAGTCTGACTTCAGCTTCGGCCTCAGCCTCAGCCTGCCTCAGCCTCAGCCTCAGCCTCAGCCTGCCTCAGCATCAGCCAGCCTCAGCCTCAGCCTCAGCCTGCCTCAGCCACAGCCTCAGCCTGCTTCAGCCTCAGCCTCAGTCTGCCTTCAGCCTCAGCCTCAGCCTCAGCCTGCCTCAGCCTCAGCCTGCATCAGCCTCAGCCTCAGCCTCAGCCTGCCTCAGCATCAGCCTGCTCAGCCTCAGCCTCAGCCTGCCTCAGCCTCAGCCTCAGCCTGCTTCAGCCTCAGCCTCAGTCTGCCTTCAGCCTCAGCCTCAGCCTGCCTCAGCCTCAGCCTGCCTCAGCCTCCTCAGCCTCAGCCTCAGCCTCAGCCTCAGCCTCAGCCTCAGCCTCAGCCTCAGCCTCAGCCTGCAGCCAGCCTCAGCCTCAGCCTCCTCAGCCTCAGCCTCAGCACTCAGCCTCAGCCTCAGCCTGCCTCAGCCTCAGCCTCAGCCTGCTTCAGCCTCAGCCTCAGTCTGCCTTCAGCCTCAGCCTCAGCCTCAGCCTGCCTCAGCCTCAGCATCAGCCTGCCTCAGCATTCAAAATGTGGCCCGGGAGTGGAGTTCTGGGAACTCGACGAACACGACGTGGCCTACAGTTGGCTCCGGGCATTCAAAATCATGCCCAGGAATGGAATTCTGGGAACTCGAAGACCACGAAGTGGCCTACAGTTGGCTCAGGGCATTCAACATCATGCCCAGGGATGGAGTTCTGGGAACTCGAAGACCACGAAGTGGCCTACAGTTGGCTCCGGGCATTCAAAATCATGCCCAGGAATGGAGTTCTGGGAACTCGAAGAACACGAAGTGGCCTACAGTTGTTTCCGGGCATTCAAAATCATGCCCAGGAATGGAGTTGTGGGAACTCGAAGACCACGAAGGGCGTTACTGCTTGGTAAAAACAAGATGTCAGGATTCCCCCGGATCCTGTCCGGATCCCGCCCAGAGCCCCATGGGGAGTCATGGTGCTTTCTTTTGACCTTCTGGGAACATTTTTCTGGGAACATTTTTCGTGGCGCCCTGAAATGGAACAGGGGAAATATTGGGGCCTTCAGGGGGCCGTCTCGGGGCCCCGAGTGTGCACGTGGTGCCCCCCTCCCTCCCCAAGTTGGCGCCGGGGGGCCGTCTCGAGGCGTAGGAGGAGGATCGGCAATAGAACCCTGTGCGCCGTGGCTCTCATTTGGCAGCGCTCTGCTCGCCGCAGCCGCCTCGTGCCGAGACGTGCGCGCTCACGCCCGTCGCCCGTGTTGCGCCCCTGGTCTGGATGCTCAGAGGATGCATCTGAACGAGTCGATTTCAAACTATGTGTCTGGACACGGTGGTTCTCGACAGGCGCGCCATGTATCGAATGTGCGCAATGCAACTTCTACCCAATATGAGTTTTCTTCGCGATTGGCCTCGCGATTATTGAGTGCGTGGTCGTTGGGGTCATATCTGCGAATACTGTGCAGTGGCTTGCAGGTGATCGTGGCGTTTCCAATGTATGGGTTTGGTTTTAACGCTGGTTGCACATGTGAACGTGAACCAGCGTGGGCCCCAAACTTAAGAACCTCTAAGTGCAAGCGCTGCTTGGGGAACCTGGCAGCAAACCCATGAGTTGGAAGCAGCCTTAGATGGCGCTGTATTGGATGGCTTGCAGCAGTCTGATATCCAGCGCCTGGCAAAATGTGGGTCGCACGGGGCTCACAGCGGAAATGTTCGGCGATATTTGAAACGGCAGTTCTTCAGCAATGTGTCAGTGCCGAGGCCAATGGCCATAGATGTGCCAACGAAGGTTTCAGCGACGAAAATCGAGGACCTGCCAACTAGCTTGTTATCGCCATTGGACACGTGCCAGTTTTTCTATGACAGCGAACACCCCTCATTCCAAGACATGTCACAACCCCTCCTCGCAGATTCTGGGAACAAATCGACCCAAACGACCCTAAGTTCATCAATCTTGATCAGGTTGGAATGCGAAACGACCCAAACTGGATGGACATATACATACCGATCATCTTGCATGGAGATGGTGCTATTGTTACAAAGACTGATGGTAAGCTGTTGCGTGCGCAGTGGCGGCCATTGCTTTCGCGTGCCTTTCATCGAAGCATAATTCCTGCATTCACGTTGCATGCGCGCGCACATTGTAATGTGATCGAAGTGATATTGTGTGTTGACGCAGGCTGGCTCATTTGCTAAACTCTGCGTTCGGCGGCGTTCACTCACTTACCGACGAGCGCACCTTGCCGTGGCCACCGTGCTCTCGGGCCGCAGCAAACAAGGGCAAAGCGTTGCTAGGTGGGAAGTATAAGTTGGTTGTATGGCTACTGACACATGATCTAGAATATGGTGCAAGTGAGCTTGTATACCCTAACTTCAACGCAAACGAACCGCGCTGGTTCGATAAAGATTCCAGGGAGCAAGACACTCCATACCCTATAACAGACGTGCGATTCTGTGCTGCGTGGAGGGCCACGTGTCCTTCAACTCGCGAAGCGTGCGCGGCGCGCATCAGTGCTCATCCGGTTCATTCGATCAAGGGGATGTCGCGATACATGAATCCAGGCGATATGTTGCACTCTGGAACATGGGCCTGCTCAAGTATTTCATTGGGTCAGTCCTGTGGGTGATTATGCTTTCTCGCAGGCTTCGGGGAACAATTGAAAAAACGGTGCGATTTGTTTTTCGATGATCATGCGACGCCCATACATTCAAAGTTGTGCACGACTGTTCGGGTTGGTAAACTAACGCCTGGCATGTTCATTGCGAGAGACAATGTCCCATGCTTCTCTGGTAAAGCAGCTGAAACACAACATATGCTATCCGCTCTGAAAGAGTACTGGCGCGGAAACCGCGATGGAAGCGATCATGGCGAGCACCTGGTGCGGGCATTCGATTGCCTCTGTGAGTCCCCGTGTACATGTAAGCAAGGCCCGATGGTTCCAGGACTTGCAGTTCCAGTGAGATTGACAAGCTTTATCGAAACATTTGTGCCGCATAACAATTGGTTGTTTAAGCATTGGACCGCCAAAGGCAAAATGTGCTTCCACAGTAGTACAAAGTTCCATCTGATGATTCACATTGCAGAGCTGTCACGGTGGTTCAATCCCACGTGGATGTGGTGTTTTGAATGGGAAGATTTCATTGGGCAGCTTGTTCAATGTGCCCGTTCTGCAACTGCAGGGACTCCACCGCGCATGGTTCCTGCAAAGGTTATGGAATGCTTCTTGGTGCACTTGGATTTGAATCTGAAGGTTGACTTTGACAAGTTATGGCTCCCGTGAGTACACGAATGATGGCGTCGATGGTTTGGTAGCTCTGATAATCGCATATTCTACAAGTCTTCGACATTCCGCCGAACAGCATCCTGCAAAGCCTCCGACATGTCCGCGGGACCCATGTAACGTGGCAGCAACAATGATCACGGCAATATGGGAAATACGTTATCATGGTCCAGGAAAGTGCAAAGCAAGTTCGTAGTATTTCAAATGGAAAGTGACACAAAACACGATGCTATTATATTTATAGTATCACTAAACTGTAATACCAGTATAATGGTACGTGTTGCTTGTACCGGTAATCCCTAACATGCATGATCTGATCCCACATATTTCAAGATCCCGGACTTTTCTGGATAACGTGCTTCGAACTTCAGATTATCCTAAAGTTGTTGGGGATTCTGGGAAATGTAAGGAAAATCCTTTACTTTTTAATGCTTTGGATTCTCAGGGGGAGGGGTGTCCAGCGGAGCTCCATGAAATCCACGCGGAGCGCCGACAGTTCATGTTTATACCGTGCTTTCTTCTCCTAACATTGGCGGCAGGGACATACTCGAGAGCGGCAGGTTCGACACGGTCATGGGGCTCGTGATCGCCCTGAACGCGGCGCTGATCGGATTCGAGGTTGACTTCCAGGCTCAGCACGCCACTTTGGAGAGGCCACGGATGCTCGGCTCCACTCTGCTGTACCGGGTCGTGGACCTCGCCTTCTTCGCCGTGTTCACGGCGGAGCTGCTGCTGAAGCTCTACGTGCACCGGGCGGAGCTCCTGGTGAAAAGGGAGGCCGCGGTGCTGTGGAACTGGTTCGACTTCGTGGTCGTCCTGATGCAGCTCCTCGAGGAGGCGATCACCCTGCTGGCGGCCACGGCCAGGTCTCGACGGCGCTCCCGGGGGGGGAGCGCGAGCGGGCAGGCCCTCTCGGCAGGCGGCGGGGCTTCTCAGAGGCCCTCGGCGCCTCCCGAGCAGCCCTGCAGGCCTTCTCGGAGACCACAGGCAGCTTCGGACTGCGCGAGTGGTTCTGAGAAGCCCCGCCGCCTTCCGAGCAGGCCTGCCCCCGCGTGCTCCCCCCTTGGGCTCGCCGCCCAAAGGTCCGTCGTCGACCTGAGCAGCGTGAGACTCCTCAGGGTGGTCCGGGTGCTCAAGGTGCTGCGCGTCATCCGGTTCGTGCCTCTCTTCTCCGAGCTGCGCAGGATCGTCAGCTCGATCATGGGCTCCCTCAAGTCGCTCTGGTGGACCATTCGGAGAACAAACAGCGGCATTGACATTAGCTGCTGGAGCTCTGGAGTTCTTGGGCCTGCGCTCTGGGCCCTCCCCCCGGCGCGCTCCGCGCGCCAGAAGGAGGGGGCTCGGCGCAGCTCCTGGAGATCCGCGCGAAGCTCCGGGAGTCTATGCTCGCGGCTCGCGTTGGAAAGATGGACGCGCGATGTGGCGACAGCAGCCTGCTTTTTCCCAACCATCCTGTGGTGTTGGGTCCTCGTTTTGAAGAGACGGTGGCCGCGTCTCCTCTCCTCCTCTCCTCCTCCCCCTCCTCCTTGCGTTTCACCCACCCAGCACAGCGTTTCGTAGCCCCATAGGGAGCTCCACCGAAGGCCCCAGTGGCAGGGTTCGCATGGCGGCCTCGGGCCATTTTGGCACACCCCTCACGAGGATCGTGGCCCCATAGGGAGCTCCACCGAAGGCTCCAGTGGCAGGGTTCGCATGGCGGCCTCGGGCCATTTCGGCACACCCCTCACGAGGATCGTGGCCCCATAGGGAGCTCCACCGAAGGCGCCAGTGGCAGGGTTCGCATGGCGGCCTCGGGCCATTTCGGCACACCCCTCACGACGATCGTAGACCCATAAGGGAGCTCCACCGAAGGCGCCAGTGGCAGGGTTCGCATGGCGGCCTCGGGCCATTTCGGCACACCCCTCACGAGGATCGTGGCCCCATAGGGAGCTCCACCGAAGGCGCCAGTGGCAGGGTTCGCATGGCGGCCTCGGGCCATTTCGGCACACCCCTCACGAGGATCGTGGACCCATAGGGAGCTCCACCGAAGGCGCCAGTGGCTCGCATGGCGGCCTCGGGCCATTTCGGCACACCCCTCACGAGGATCGTGGCCCCATAGGGAGCTCCACCGAAGGCGCCAGTGGCAGGGTTCGCATGGCGGCCTCGGGCCATGTCGGCACACCCCTCACGAGGATCGTGGCCCCATAGGGAGCTCCACCGACTGCCCCCAGTGGCAGGGTTCGCATGGCGGCCTCGGGCCATTTCGGCACACCCCTCACGAGGATCGTGGCCCCATAGGGAGCTCCACCGAAGGCCGCCAGTGGCAGGGTTCGCATGGCGGCCTCGGGCCATTTCGGCACACCCCTCACGAGGATCGTGGCCCCATAGGGAGCTCCACTGAAGGCGCCAGTGGCAGGGTTCGCATGGCGGCCTCGGGCCATTTCGGCACACCCCTCACGAGGATCGTGGCCCCATAGGGAGCTCCACCGAAGGCGCCAGTGGCAGGGTTCGCATGGCGGCCTCGGGCCATTTCGGCACACCCCTCACGAGGATCGTGGCCCCATAGGGAGCTCCACCGAAGGCGCCAGTGGCAGGGTTCGCATGGCGGCCTCGGGCCATTTCGGCACACCCCTCACGAGGACCGTGGCCCCACTGGAGCTCCACCGAAGGCGCCAGTGGCAGGGTTCGCATGGCGGCCCCGGGCCATTTCGGCACACCCCTCACGAGGATCGTGGCCCCATAGTTGTGCTGCTTCAACAACCGCGCCTGGGCGTCGTACTCCGCCTTGTCGGCGTGCAACGCCACCTCCTCCCTCATGGCTCTCAAGGCCCTTTCCTGCTTCTGCTCCTCGGTGAGAGGGACGCCGTCCTTGTCGTCGTCGGCGCCCGCGAAGACGGCCACGATCGTGTCCCTGAGCATGTCGGGCTCCGGCGGGAAGCCGTGGCCACATAGGGAGCGCGGGCGAAGATGGTATTCACAATTGCGGTATTCACAATTGCATATGGTTGGGTCTTTCGCCAGGATAATTTCACGCCTGTGTTCCAGATTATTTAATCGCTTCGCTCATTCCGCCGGCCCTGGAGCGTTATTTGGGGCCTCTTGGGGCCGTCTTGGGGTCTTTTTGGGGGCTTCTTGGGGGTTTCTTGGGAGCGTCTTGGGGTTCCTTGACGGCGTATTGGGCTCCCCTGGGGCCTCTTGGGGGGCTCTTGGGGGCCCCTTGGGGCGGGAGGGGGGGTAGTCGTTGGCAGCCCGCCCCTCGGAGGCCACGATCCTCGTGAGGGGATCGCCCGAGGGTGAGCCGGGGATCGGCCGGGGTACTTTTCGTCCGGGGCCCCCCAGGGGCCGCCCCGCGCGCGCGAACTAGAAATATTGCTAAGTAGCTATCGGGGATCTTAGCACGCCTCTGGCCCGTTGGGCCGGCGAATTTCCCCAGTATTGTTTCCCCAGTACGTGTGCCCCGAAGCTTTCCAGGAGCTCCTTCGGCAGCTCCTTCCAAGAGCTTCCAGAGCTCCCTCGAGAGGCTCCTGGCGTTCCTTTCCCCGGGTTTGGGACTCCACAAGTGAGCGACGCCAAAAAACGGGGTCGTCGGCGCCGACACTCGGGCGTAAGCTGCTCGCGTAAGCTCGCGCGTAATCGCCCTCGCTTCAAACGTGGTGTGCCGCGCGAGCGGCCCACGTAAGCCACCGCGTGAGGTTGCTAAGTCATCTCGCGCAAGGCCCTCCTCCTCCTCCTCCTCCTCCTACTCCTCCTCCGCCTCCGCCTCCGCCTCCGCCTCCGCCTCTTCCTCTTCTTCTTCCTCTTCCTCCTCCTCCTCCTCATCATCATCCGCCTCCTCCTCCTCATCCTCTTCCTTTTTGATCGTCGCTCAAGTGGCGCCGCTGGCCCGCTGATCTCACGTGGTCCCCCCCCTGTCGGGGGCAGCGTGCGCCGAGGAGGCGGCGCGCGGAGGGACGGGGGCCCTCGCTGGGGGGGGGGATCGCCTGTCGCGGCAGGCGGCGTGCTGCTGCGGAGGTCGGAGTTGCACGCCGCAGGCTCCTCCTCCTCCCTCCCTCCTCCTCCTCCTCCTCCCTCCTCCTCCTCCTCCTCCTCCTCCTCCCCCTCCTCCTCCTCCTCCTCCTCCTCCTCCTCCTCCTCCTCCTCCTCCTCCTCCTCCTCCCCCCTCCTCCTCCTCCTCCTCCTCCTCCTCCTCCTCCTCCTCCTCTCCTCCTCCTCCTCCTCCTCCTCCTCCTCCTCCTCTTCCGCCTCCCCCTCCTCTCCTCCCCCCTCCTCTCCTCCTCCTCCTCGTCCTCCTCCTCCCCCTCCTCCTCCTCCTCCTCCTCCTCCTCCTCCTCCTCCTCCTCCTCCTCCTCCTCCTCCTCCCTCCTCCTCCTCCTCCTCCTCCTCCTCCTCCTCCTCCTCCTCGTGCCACATGCACCATCCGAGGCGTTCCAGGGAGGGCCTTGCCCTCGAGGATCGAAGGAGTTGTCGTCTCCTCCTCCTCGGCGGAAGGCTGCGGAAGGGCGGCGGAAGTAGAGCGAGGTCGCCTCAGCCGGCGGAAGCCGGCAGACGGCCGGCGGAAGGCCGGCGGAAGTAAGAGGTACGCCCGATGAAAACGTGTCAGGGTTCTCCCCCCAAGTGTTCAATGTTGGTGGTGGTTTGAGTGAGTTGTAGTTCGATCGCAGTCTTCCCCGCGCGTGCCAACCTTGAGTCTGGGGAAGAGGAGGCGTGTCCACTGATTGTCTCCCTCTACTGTCTGTTTCCAACGCCTACCGTATGCCGCTGTTTCTTCCTCTAACCGTGGCCCTGCTGTTTCTCCTTATGTACATTGTGGGCATCTTCTTCGTCCAGCAGATCACGGGCCACATGGCGGGGCTCCCCGAGGCGGCGCTCACCGAGAGGGAGTTGCGGATGAGGAAGTACTTCGGGTCCCTGCCGGACGCCTGGCTCTCCCTGTGGAAGGCGATATCGGGCGGCATCGATTGGGACGTCCTGGCCGAGCCGCTGGAGAAGGACCTGGGACTCCTGCTGGGCTGGGCCTTCGCGGCCTACATCGCCTTCTCGTTGCTGGCGATCATGAATGTCGACGGTATTGTCACCACCCTCCTGCACCTTGTGCTCGGGACCGTCGGGTCGGACCCCTTGTCCGAGGCGAAGACTGCACCCCGCAGTCGAGGTGACGAACATCAGATTTCTTGGGAAGAAGTAACACTCCTCGACCCTGGTGGTCTTGTAGTGAGTACTGCTGAACCAGACGTTCAGCGAGACGGATCATTTGAAGATGCAGATTCCTCAGACGACCCATTGCTCGGAGGAGGAGTCAACAGACGTGGCGGGAAGAATGCAGCCAAAGCGACGAAGGGGCGTCGTGAGGTAGCCGATCTTGCCAATCAGGTGACGCAGATCACCACAGTTTTGAATAAGTTGACAGAAAAGATGGGTGTGGAGTCTCTGGTGGCTGTGGGGAAGCCGCCCAAGAAGCGCACGCCCAAGAATGCCCAAGTACCGCCAACGCTTCAGAAGATTCGGGAATATCTGAAGTACATGCGGGTCAATCGTCTCAAGGTCACAGAGGAGCAAGTGCAGGAGAAGCTGCGCGGCCTCCTCTCGAAAACCACGGCAGCCTCGACGTGGTTGAATGGGGGACCTGCTGCCGAGAAGGTGCAGGATACGAAGCTGGTCGTACACTCTCAGCCGTGGGGAGCGGCTAAGATCGTCAAGGCCGCGAATATCAGGACGACGACACTGGAGGGCCCTGCAGTCATCACGTGCCAGTCGCCCACAGAGTACGAGCAGGCCACGCAGTGGCTCGGCTCCATCAAAGAACAACCCAGTGGGATGACGTTCATTGTCTTCAATGCACCGTCGATTTTGCCTGGGGCTACTACTATGGAGGTCATGTGTGAGACGTCTGTTGGGGTCAGACCGCACACGGCTCAGATTATTATGACGGGGACCTCGCCACCGACTCGCCAGGGGCTACCCACGGGCTTGAAGGACGATGAGGTCTCAACCGCACCCCCCTTGGCCACGGCGGCACTACGACTCACGATTGCGGAGGCGTTCGCCGACGATGCTACGTATGCGACGGTCAAGGAGAAACCAGTGGCGATGGCGACGGTACTATTTCCTCAAGTGCTGGCAGCCAAGATTTTGAAGGTCAAGGGAGCAGTCAACTATCAGACGGAGTCGACTGCGATTATTCTTGTGCGAGAGAATGACACAGAGGCATTCTTGAAGTGGGCCGCCCCGCCAGGGGTATTTTTGAATAGACAATCCAGTAAGCTGGTGCCAGTGTGGCACAAACTACGCGAGGGCGAGAACATGATGACGTACTTCACCAGGGTGACTGCTGCAGCCGCCCAGGTCGAGGGCCGCTTGGTGTACCGCCCGTCGGACAACGCATCCTTAGGAATCTTATCGCAGAAGCCCATGGCAGCGGATATCCAACCTCGATGGTACTTGCAGAAGTGCCCTGAGCACTGGTCATCATCCCAGGAGGTCGAGGAGTGGGCCAAAGCCAGAGGGTTCCAAAATATTGATGGCATCACACGATCGAGCAAGAGAGCCTGGTTTCTACGAGCTGATCTGGACGGATGGGTCAAAGACCAGGTATGTACCTTCAAGTCGGGGATCATAGCTAGCCTAGCTGTGCCTCGCAGGACATCATCACGACCGCCTCCACAGGCCAAAGGGGCATCCGCGTGGGGGACTCCCGCGCCGGCCAGAGCCCCAGTGCAGGAGACGACAGCAGAAGTGAAAGCAGAAGTACGAGACGAGGACGGCGACGTGGGCATGGCGAATGCCGAGGAAGGTGGACCGCAGCGGCCGCCGCAGCCAGGCACAGCAGCAGCAGCCTCAGCAGCAGCAGCAGCACCACCACAAGCTCCACAGGCGCCCATGAAGCCTCCGTGGGAGGCATATTTCAATGAGAAGTGCTGTGGGGGTGACGGAGATTGTTTCTTCTTGATGGCCTCCCACGGTATACGAGCGAACCAGTCCAAGCCAAAGCAGATGGCGGAGAAGGAGATGGGCCCTGGCGGCGCACTTCAAGCCAATTTGCGCATGATCGTGTCCGCCACCATGACGGACAACAAACGTTACCCCCAGGACGAGGCCCGCAAGGCGGCCAAGACTGGGGAATGGGCCACATCGGCCATGGTGAGAGCAGCAGCGGTCACCACGAAGACGAATTTCTCCATCTGGAAAAAGTCCCGCACTGGAACGTGGACCTTGTATACCGCCCCAGCGGACATCAAGACCAAGCAGACGGCGTGGGCAACGTTGGTGGACAAGCACTACAAACTTCTTCTTCCAAAGGCGGGTGTTGAGCTACCCCAGGAGATTTTGACACGATGGACGACTGCAGCATTCCCATACCCAGCACGATTTACGGGGGGAGGAACGGGCAGCACACCACACACACCGTCGGCGAGAGCTCCTTCGACCAGAGGAGCACGCAGTATGCTGGGTCTCAGCCCAGCTTCGACCAAGAAGACCACGAAAGCCTTGAATGCAGCCAGGAGTATGCTGGGCCTCAGTCAGTCGGGGCGTTCTAAGACCTCGAAGGTGACGGCCAAGGCATCCTCGAAGCCAACGGCTAAACGACTGGCACGCGCTAGGAGTGTTCTGGGACTATCAGTTGGTGATGAGGCTGTCGATGATCCTCTCCCTGATCATGATCTACCAGCATGCCGTCCTGAGCGCTACAACTATTATTTTTGCGACTGCGGGTGGAAGCCCGATGGGGCTCATGCACCCTGCCATGTTCTACAACGAGCACGAGTACACTGGCGTGCCTGCAAGGGCACACCGCCGCCCAAGGAGCCACCTGAGAATAGGGCAGCACGGCTGAGGGCGGTGACCAGCATATCCTACATGGACAGAGGAAAGCGAGACAAAGCTTGGAGGAGGTACACCACATGGTACCAGTCTCTACCCGAAGATGTGAAGCCCAGCGTCTGCCAGATCACGGAGGACAATGTCGAAACGGTCAAGGACGGCAAGCAGGGCAACACGGTATATTCTTGTACAAGATGCGGCAGACGTAAGACGTTGGCCAAGCATATCCTGAAGAAAGGTAACACCGCGTGGGCAGTCTGTGCCAGGCGACCAGGAGACCCACGCAAAGTCAAGGAGGCCACGCATGACGTCTGGGTCAGGATGGTCAGCAGGGACTACGCTGACCAGATCGAGACGGCACATAAGAAGACGCAGGAAAAGCAGAGACGCAGACAACGTACTCCAGAGATGAAGGCCAAGCGCCAAGAGTATTTCAAGAGGCGGAAGCTGATGCGGATGCTACGCAGACCTGCAGCAGTGGCTCCCAGTGAGGTGCCTGTGCAGGAGGAGGCAGCCGCAGCCTCAGCATCGACGCGACGGGATCCGCTCCTGGGAGGAGGAGGCCGCCGAGCTGAGGGCCACGATGACTCCCAGGGGCAACCACTACCCAAGCGTCAGAAGAAAGCTTCGACAAATGTGAAAGCATCGAGGGCCTCATCTTCAGAGGCTACTACGGCTTCAAAGAAAGCAAGGGTCATGGACATAAGTGCCGCGGACCCGTCCCAGAATTCAAAGGCTGTATTTGCAGACCAAGCAGTTTCTGAACTTGCTCCAAAGACTGATTTCTCTAGTTCTTCGAATTCAAAGACTGTATTTGCAGATCAATGTCCCGACTCTCACAGAGAGTCCAAAAGACAGCGGCGTGGACAGGCCCAGCGGCGTCAGGACGCAAGTCCTGAGGAAGCCCCGATTGCGTGGGAACACCTCAGGCAGCGTCGCCACGTTTTGCAAGCCTGGGGAAGCCCCGAATGCGAGGGAACACCCCAGGCACGGGCCGCCACGTCGACACCTTCGGGGACAACGACGGGACCGACGACGACACCAGCACCGTTGCGGAGATCATCTACTCAGAGTCCGAGATCCTCCAAACGCTTGAAGACTTCAACACCATCAGGGACAGGTGAAGGCCCCGCCCACACCGAACATGCCGAGGATCACGTCGACGAGACTGAGCCCCAGGGCTCAGAGAATGACCAGGGCGAGGGCCTCGATCGCCTGCAGGTAGCCACGATCAATGTCACCAGTATCTCAAAGGCCAGATTGTCAGAGATCCTGGACAATGTTGCAGACGACGTCGGTGTACTATGTCTCCAGGAGATACGACTCCCTGACATGAGGCCGAGGTGGCTGATCAACTTCTGTGCTCGACGAGGGTGGGGCGCAGCATGCTCGAAGCCCCCTCCTCCTGGGGCGAGAGTGGCAACGACACAGGGCGGCTGTGCGATCTTGTGGCGACGGGCCATGGGAAAGATCAGCGTCATCAGAGACGACAAGCTCGACCATCGGATGGTGGGGATCAGAACTACCAAAGCGACAATCTTGAGCATGTACGGGCCACAGTGGTACGATCGATCATGGTTTTTGTCTGCTCTGGATTATGCCAAATCACTGGGCCATCTGGGCCACCCCCTCTACATCATAGGGGACCTCAATTGGAAAGCTTCATATAATACTTTATTAGACATCGGATGGCAGCTGGACGTATCGCATGACCAATCTACTCAGGTGACCACGGCGATCGGCACGGCTCCGACAAGGGCGATATCTTGGGGAAACCCGCAGGATGCCCCACCAAAGTACCTAGGCGCCAAGCTCTTGCCAGGGGTGCCTCACCACGCGATGGTCAAGTACCAGTTGGAGATACCATACATTACGATCCCACGGTACCGACTACACCACACGGCTTCCTTTCTACCTGTGGTCAACACCAAGACGGTTACGGCCGAGTACAAGAGCCTCTTGAAGGAATCACTTGATGCAGTGTGTGCGGCTCCCCATATTGATGGAGCCATCGACCTGGATCTCAATGACGACACAGATGTCCCGCTGGTCACGAGATGGCGCTACTGGCACGAACGAGCAGAGGCAGCACTCAACGTTGCAGTGGACAAAAAGTTGGTAGAGATTGACCGCCTACCTGAGAGGAGCAAGGGCTCCCAACCCACGCAGAGGCCAGCGGCACATGGACCTCGGTTTCGACCAGAACAAAGTATTGCACATAGGCGTCTTCTCCGTCTCCATCGTCGCTTCTCGGAGGCGCTCAGGCAGGGGACTTCAGCGATGGCTGAGGTCTCTCCACGACACTTTACGGATATTGCCAGAGCTGCCTTCGAGGGAATTGTCAATATGAAAGCAGAAGGTATTCCTTGTTATTCGGATTGTCTCCAGTGGCTTACAGCGGCCATATCAGCGGAGAATATTAAATTACAACGTGAAGCCCAGAGATCCTGGAAAGAAAAATTTGCAGCGTGGTCTACTGAGGTGTATAAGGTGGCCACGCCCATGTTCAAGCAGGCGCCCCCGGCCTCCTCTTGCCACGTCTCGCAGTTCGCCGAGGAGTGGGAAACGCAGTGGAAGCCTGGGAATATTGACAAACAAGCACACCTTCGAGCCGGGCAACATCGTGCTGATCAAGTTGAGTTCCCGAAGTCGACTTTGCATGAGATGTGGCTGCCAACGAAGGAACAGTTTGATGAAGCTTTGAGAAGTTCAAAGGGTTGTGCAGGATTGGATGGGTGGTCTTTCAGAGAGATCCGTATCCTGGCGGACTTGTATCCAGAAATTATCGCAGAACTCTACACGCTGTGGTGTGATACTTCCAGGTATTGCATAGAACATGAAGGCTGTCCACCAGGTGAACTCCACGATCTGGCATTCGCCTGGCGAGTGGCAGGTATGCCCAAGGGAGAGGATGACACGAGGCCTATCAGTGTGGGCAGCGTGTTGCTACGTACTTGGCTCAGAGCATTGGCATTTGCAGCTCCTGAGCTTCCAGAAGGTCAATGGGCTAATAGAAAGCACGTGTCAGTCACTCACGCGATCAGCCAGTGGTTGCGACATTGCGAATTGAGTTCAGACGGATGCGAATTAGATCTCAGCCGCGCTTATGATAATATTCTTCATGAAATTGCGAGTGCTGCAATGGAGCGCTCACGTTACCCCCTGGCAGTACGATATGTATGCAAATCGGCATGGAAAGGCCCTCGTTGGCGCAGCCTCAGCGGAGAACTGGCAGAGAGGGCAATATACGCAGACCGAGGTTTGCCACAAGGAGACAGCACAGCACCTGGGACCATGATCAGTACCCTTGTTCCTTGGATCACGTCTGGCCCCTCGGGATGCTTTATGGATGACCGCTATATTGTTGGAGATAGCCCGCAGGGGCTGCTGGGCGACATGGCTGAAACTTCTACGTTTGACAATGACGTGGGTTTCAAAGCGAACAACAAGAAAACGCAGATATGGTCCACCATGGACGCAGAGCCTCAGCAGATTGAACACCTCGGTCTCCTCGCTTGTCCCACCGACGCGACATGGGCCATTATACCAAAAGACAACTGGGCCAAACTTCACACTGGGATTTCTATTCTTCAGTCTGTTCCTGGATCTTGCATGGTGAGATTGCGGCTGGCCTATACATACCTAAGACCTCTGTGGACGTGGGGAGCCCCTATCGTGACACCCCCACCGACTGCGACGGCAAAGCTTTTGGCGAGAGCAGTGTGGCGCACCCAGAACACATGGTGGTGCCTGGGCAGATGGTGGTGTCAGAACATCATGCTCCACCCTGTCTATTCTTGCAGCCTCTTCGCCTTCAGACGTTTACATGATGAAAAGTTGATTTGGTCATCTTTCCTGGAGAACTCGATCCAAGTCCATGCTCAAACGTTGGGATTGGAGTATATACGATTTTCAGAAGAACGTGGTGTATTACTGGAAGTCTCGTCGATGGACGACTTCAGAGTATTGCAGATCGTGGAAGGTTTGGCGGATGCTCAACTCAGATTTTGGACGCACTCCAAGAGGGCACAACATGTCCTCCGAGTCATTGCCAGGATCAGGTGCCTTCAGATTGTTGAGCCCCGCAGAAAAGACGCTGAGGAAGTTGAATCAGTTGACGTCGACGCCTGCAGCAACAAGATTTTTTACAAAATGGTTTCATTCATTGAGTATCGCCGAGAAGTTTAGCCTCTCTGTGTATCGCTCGGGAGCAGCTTCATCGGAGACACGTCGACAGACGGGGCTACCATGCCCACACTGCGGCCATCTTTGGCCATCCATCCGACATCAGGTCGTGGAGTGCCCGCACTGGGACGGGCTTCGAGCTGATCTTTCTTCAAAGTATATCTTGCCGCCCACGTTCTGGACCAGCCTCCCGCGGGTCTCAGCCAAGAGTGGGTGGATAACGTATGCGGCAGACCCTGCATCAAATGTCAGAAGGGCTACCATGCTGAGGGCCGTCTGTGAGATGGGCATCGGCATCATCGGTGGTGGACTGGAAGGACGACTTCATGACCCTGCACCGCCTCCTGTGCGGCCTAGAGTTCGTGTTGCTGCGTGACCCCCACGTGTGGATCTACCCCATGGTCAGGGTATCCCACGTCATCTTCTATACGATCATGAATGTCGTTACTGGCGTATGAACACGCGCTGTCGCGCAACTTCGCCGCCGCGCTCGTCAGGGGCGCCTGGACGACCGGATGGGTGGCGGCGGAGGGGGGGGGGCCGGATGAGGGAGCTTCCATGGAAGGTGTTACCCGGCATTTCATGGTGGCATGAGTTTTTTTATGCCCGGAGGGACACAACGCAGGGGCATTGCACACAACATGAAGGAGTATAATCGTTTCCCCTAAACAGCTTTTCTGTAAGGATCGCTCACTCCGCCAGCATCTGTTGTAGTACCGTTGGCACTTGCTTGCGTGCTCGCGGTGGTGTGTTGGAGGCCGCGTGGGGCCTCGTGTGAGCCTCTTGGGGCCTATCTGGCGGGGGTCTTGGGGCCTCTGGAGGAAGTTTGCCACACATCTGAACATCATTGCAAGATACATGACATAATGTGCACCCGCATTGAAGCCCTTGTCGCGCACCTTCATCTGGTCTAGGACTGAGTATGCCAACTTTCTCGGGCAACCCTGGTCCTGTCCGTCTCCAGCGTTTCGGCGTGTGGCTGGCTGTCCTCATCTGGACCTGCCACAACCCACCACACGGGGCAGGCCGACGTTGTCACGAACGACACTTCCGTGTCCAAATGTGTGAAACATCAATGCTTGCAGCACCCGAATCGCCAGACGATGTCAAGCTGGCTCAGTGCGATGGTGCTGACAGCTGAGCTGCCAGCGTCAACCCAGAGCCTGGAAACAACTCTGGAGGAGGCCTCTTCGGTGCCTGGAACCCTCTCAGGGGCACCGTGGTCGGTCTTGGGGCCCTCTTGGGCCGTTCGGGGGCCCTATTGGGAAGCTCTAGGGCTGTCTTGGGGTGCTCATGGGTGGTTATTTGGCCGTCTTGGAGCGTCGGAAGGCCGAAAAGGCCAGAGCGCTAACATCTGTAAGAAACGATCGAACATGAACGATTTGGGCTTCTCGGGCCCTCCTTAGGGGCGTCCTTGTGGCGGTTGAAAGCCCACTTGGACCGTGAAGAAGCCATGTTGGACGTATTGGGAAGCTCTTGGACCGTGTCAGACCTTGCTGGGCTCTAGTGCAGGCCCCGTGGAGCGTTCCTGGGGTCGCTCTTGGTGGTCGCAAAGGCAGCGCCCAGCCCGAAAATCGTACAGCGCTATGTTTGGGGTATTTTTCGTCCAGGGGCCCCCAGTGGCCGCCACGCGCGCGCGAACTAGAAATCTTGTTAAGTAGTTACCGGAGATCTGAGCACGCCTCTGGCCCGTTGGGCCGGCGAATTTCCCTAGTATTGTTTCCCCAGTACGTGTGCCCCGAAGCTTTCCAGGAACTCCTTCGGCAGCTCCTTCCAAGAGCTTCCAGAGCTCCCTCGAATAACACTCGAGACTTCTCACTGGTGATCTCAGCACGCCTTTGGCCGGTTGGGCCGCCGATGTGTCAAACGACGCCGAGTACAGGGAGACCGCGATCTAGAATGGGCGCGGCGCCATTGGCTCCCGTTGTCTCCCGTTGCCTGCCGTTGTCCCCCATCGTGATCTGGATTCGCTCGGGCGCTTTGGTCTCCCGTTGCTTTCCGTGGTGTCCCGTGTCTCTCCCGTTGTCTCTTGTTGTTGGTTTTGTTGTTGTTTCCCGTTGTCTCCGTTTGTTTCCAGTTGCCTCTTGTTGTCTTCCGTCGCCTCTCGTTGTCTCCAGTGGTCCCCTGGTCTCAGGGTAGCTCCCATTGTCTCCCGTGGTTTCCCGTTGCCTCCCGTCGTCTCCTGTTGCTTCCCGTTGTCTCCACTGTCCACCGCTGTCTCCCATTGTTCCCCATTGTCTCACAGTGTCTCCCGTTGTCTCCCGCTGTTCCCCGTTGTCCTCCGTGGTCTCGCGCTGGCTCCCGTTGTCTCCCATTGTCTCCCGACGCCTCCTGCTGTTTACTGTCTTCTTCCACTGTCTCCCGTTATTCCCCGTCTCCCACTGTTTCCCGTGGTCTCCCGTGGTCTCCCGTTGTCTCCATGTGTCTTGCGTGTTCTTCCGTTGTTATTCCCGTTGTTGTCTACCGTTGTCTTCCTCTGCCGCCCGTTGCTTGCCATTGTCTCCCGTGGTCTCCCGTTGTCTTCTGTCGTTCCTCGTTGTCCCTCGTGGTTTCCCGTCACTTCCCGTTGTCTTCCGTTGTCTCCCGTTGTCTATCATTGTCTCCCGTGGTCCCCCGTCCTCCATTGCCTCCCTTGTTTTTCCCATCGTCTCCCGTGGTCTCCCGTGGTTTCCCGTTGTCTCCCGTTGTGTCGGATTTCCTCTTATGTTCTCCTGTTGTTTCCCGTTGTCTCCCGTCGTCTCCCGTTGCCCCCTGTTGTCTCCCAGCGTCTTCCGTGTTCTCTTGTTCTCTCTTGTTCTCCATCTGTCTCCCGTGGTTTCCCGTTGTCTTCCATTGTCTTTACCTCCCGTTGCCTGCCATGTCTTTCGGTGGTCTCGCGTGGGTTCCCAGTGTTTCCCGTTGTCTCTCGTCGTCTCCCGTGGTCTCCCGCGTCGCCCCTCGCTTCCCGCTGTCTCCGCCGGTGGTCTCCCGCGGTGTCCCGTGGCCGCCCCTTGCTTTCCGTTGTCTCGCGCGGTCCTCCCCTTGCCGCCCGCGGTCTCCCGTCGTCTCCGGTTCTCTACAGCCGGGGTCTTGGAGAAGGAACCCTTTTCGTTGGGGAGGGGCTCGGTGTCCCTTGATTGTTCTGCAGTTTGGCTTCTGTTTTCCTTAGGTTTCCCATGGGAAATCGAAGTTCAACTTATGGGAGAAAGGGGCCCCGTTCCTTGTCCAGGGTTCCTTAGGTCAACGCCGGGAGTCTCCGTCGGTGCTCTTGGAGTCTCCGACGGTGCTCCGCCCTCCGCCCAGACAGACAGCCAGCCAGCCAGCCAGACAGACGGACGGACAGACAGACGCCCACACACTTTTTCCCTGACCTTCCAGGAGGGCTAAAAAAATAGCACCCGACGTAAAAACCTATCCCAGAGCTATTCTACGTCTTGGTTTTAGGCTGTTTCGTCTCGTGCTTTAGGTTTTTAGGTTTCCAGTGCTTAAAAATAGCTCTCTGAAAGGTCAGGGTTGCGTCGGCGGCTAGGCAGAGTGACTGCGTGGGCGGAAGAGCACATGCTGGGCGAACAATTTCGAATTAAGCCGCAATGCGCGGGGGGAAGAGGAGGAACGCCCGGCGACGGCGGGAGGGAGGAAGAGCCGGGCCCGCTCACAGCGGGGCCAGGCGGCGGCGGGGGAGCGGCGCCGGGGGAGGGGCCCAGCGGCGGCGGAGCAACAGCTGGGGGTTAGGCCAGCCTGTCGACGCACACACACACAGACACACAGACACACACACACACAACACACACAATATACATACACACAACACACACAACACAACACAGCACAGCACAACACAACACAACACAACACAACACAACACAACACAACACAACACAACACAACACAACACAACACAACACAACACAACACAACACAACACAACACACACACACACACTTCACGCACACACACAAACACATACACACACACACACACACACCGCTGCCAGCGTTGTGGCGGATTCGTGCAGACCGCACTGCAGAGCGCCCAGCGTGGAGAGGACTCCTTCCTCGAGGATCGGATTATCGCCCTCCTCTCGTCGACGGACAAGCTCTCGCTGGTCCACAGGGGCGGCCGAGCCCTGGTCACCCTGACGGAGATCCAGTCCAGGCTGGAAGACCCTCTGTTCGAGAGGGACTGGAAGGCCATAAACGTGAGCCGGAGCGAGGCGGAATACATTTTCGAGCTGCTCGACGTGACCCGCTGCGGCGAGATCCTCGTGGAGGACTTCGTGGCCGCCTGTATCCGCCTGCACGGCGGAGCGAAGTCCATCGACGTGCTCACCGTGATGCAGGAGAGCCGGCACAGCAGCAGGAGGCTGGAGGAGGTCTCTGCCTCGACGCTCGAGCTGGTAGCAGGGGAATACGTAATACACAATGGCATAAGCATGGAAACTCAGAGGTCCGCGCGGATTCCTCGGATCGGCGCTGGGGGCCCATGGCGGCGCCCCCTGGCGCGCTCTTTGCGCCAGCGAGGGGGGTCCAGCGCCGATCCGAGGGCTTCCGCGCGGACCTCCGAGTTTGTAGGCTTACAGTTAAGTCGGGCCTGTCCTTCTCCAGAAGGAATATTCAAAAGTTGTCAACACAAAATCGGGATATGTTTCTATATTGTTGATGTTTTTTTGTTTATTTTTGGTATATGTTTGAGTTTTCGTCCAAAATCCGTCTGTAGGGGGACACGCCCAACCTAATTTTAGGCTTACAGTCGACGCGCCTAGTGAGGACGCGCGCCTTCATCTAGGGTGCCCTCGTGTCCTCGCCTCTGCGGCCCGTCCTCTGCCGCTCTCGCTGGTCGCATGCCGCCCAATAGAAATCCGAACTTCGGCCTCCAGGGGCCTTGCGTCCTGGCCACCCGTCCTGAATACACGTCTCGACGGTGCGCCATTGTCTGTGGAAAAGTCGGTGGAAAACACACAGTCGGTGGAGAAAAAACGCACAGTCTGTGGAGACAACAAACAAACACACGGTGTTCGTGTGTGTGTGTGTGCGTATGCGTATGCGTATGCGTATGTGTATGTGTATGTGTATGTGCATGTGTATGTGTATGTGTATGTGTATGTGTATGTGTGTATGTGTGTATGTGTGTATGTGTGTATGTGTGTATGTGTGTATGTGTGTGTTTGTGTGTGTTTGCGTGTGTTTGTGTGTGTTTGTGTGTGCGTGTGTGTGGATCAGTGTGTGTGTGTGTGTGAGCGTGTGTGTGTGTGTGAATGTGTGTGAGTGTGTGTGTGCGTGGGTGCGTGTGTGTGTGGTGTGTGTATGCGTGTGCGTGTGTGTGTGTGTGTGTTTGTGTGTGTGTGCGTGTGTCCGTGTGTGCGTATGTGCGTGTGTGCGTGTGTGCGTGCGTGCGTGCGTGCGTGCGTGGCGTGCGGGGCGTGCGTGGCGTGCGTGGCGTGCGTGGCGTGCGTGCGCGCGCGTGCGCGCGTGCGGGCGCGGGCGGGCGGGCGGACGGGCGGGCGGGCGGGCGGGCGTGTGTGCGTGCGTGCGTGCGTGCGTGTGTGCGTGCGTGTGTGCGGGCGGGCGGGCGGCGGGCGGGCGTGCGTGCCCGCGTGCGGGCGGGCGTGCGGGAGCGTGCGGGAGCGTGCGTGCGTGTCTGTCTGTGTGTGTGTGTGTGTCTGTCTGTGTGTGTGTGTGTCTGTGTGTGTGTGTGTCTCTGTGCGTGTCTGTGTGTGTGTGTGTCTGTGTGTGTCTGTGTGTGTGTCTGTGTGTGTCTGTGTGTGTCTGTGTGTGTCTGTGTGTGTCTGTGTGTCTGTGTGTGTTTGTGTGGGTCTCTGTGGGTGTGTGTGGGCCTGTGTGTGTGTGTCTGTGTGTGTCTGTGTACGTCTGTGTGCGTCTGTGTCTGTGTCTGTGTCTGTGTCCGTGTGTTTGTGTGTTGCGTGTGTGTTGTCTACGCAGTCTGTGTGTGTATGTTTCCACTGTGTGTTTGTGTGTGTTTCGTTTTTGTTTACTTGTTTGCTGTTCACAGATTCCCCTAGGCAGGCAGCGTGCGCCTGCTGCACGAGGGGCAACAGCAGCTCGCCCGCGCCCTGGAGGAGCCGCGGCGGGGCCCCCGGCCCGACCGGCGCGCGGGCGACGCGGACGCCCGCCGCGGCCTCGACCGGCTGGAGGCGGCCGCGGCGGCCTCGGCGCGGACGCTGGCGGCGCTGGAGGAGCTCAGAGGAGGAAAAGGTACCCATACCTCTACCCTTCGGCGGTTTTCCCCCTTTTCGGCCTCCTGGGCAGCCCCTCGCTGCCACCGCTGGATTCGCCTCGACATCCTCGTCAGAACGCACCCCAGGAGAGGGGAGTAGCGGTATCGGTGCCTTTTTGTCTCCCCAGGAGCGGCTGCGCTCGGTGGAGGGCGCCGTGCAGTCGGTGCTGCAGAGGACGTGGCGTCGCTCGGGCGTGTGCACTCCTTCTCTTTTCGGCGGGGAACCTGGGGGAGCATCCTTCGAGCATCCTGCGAACACACACACACACACACACACACGCACGCACGCACGCACGCACGCACGCACGCACGCACGCACGCACGCACGCACGCACGCACGCACGCACGCACGCACGCACGCACGCACGCACGCACGCACGCACGCACGCACGCACGCACGCACGCACGCACGCGCACAGACAGACAGACAGACAGACAGACAGACAGACAGACAGACAGACAGACAGACAGACAGACAGACAGACAGGCAGGCAGGCAGGCAGGCAGGCAGGCAGGCAGGCAGGCAGACAGACAGACAGACGGACAGACAGACAGACACGCACACACACAAGCACACACTCGCGCGCCCTTTTTTAGCGTCGGCGGCGAGGCAGGGGACGTCCGCGCTGGCGGTAGGATGCCTAAAAAGGGATGCCGTCTCAGCGAACTCTGCCGACCCACACGCACACACACACGAAGCCGACGAGTGCACGGGGAATCGACGCCCGAGCGACGCCCTCCTCCTTCCTCCCTCTTCCCTCCCTCATTCCTCCTCCATCCTCTTTCCTCTCTCCCCCTTCCTCCTCCTTCCTGTGCCCTCTTTCCCCGAACAGCCCCCCGCGGGATGCGGGCAGGCGAAGCCTGCAGTCGTATCCGGCGCACCGCCGCACACCGGCCCGAATGAGCATCGCAACCAGGAAACTCCAGGCGACCGGCCAACGGTGGGCCCCAGCCTCGCACGGCATTCCGAGCCGAACCCGGCAACAATAGCGACGACAGGGCGGACGCCGAGGGTAGAGGCGGCGGACCACGCGAAGCGTCGACGGGGGGTCCCCGTCCAGCCACCCGTCCGGGCCAGCGGCGGGCGTGCTGCCAGGAGGGGAGAGGCGCCTTTTTTCCTCGGACTCAGTGGCACTGCAGTGCCTCTAAGGGAGCGCGTTTGCGCCGCAGGCCAGTGCCGAATGCAGCCTGTGGGCTGCAATCCGCTGCCAGTGGGCAGCGATGCTGCCAGTGGGCAGCACGGCACCCCCCCGAAGGAGGGTGGATTGCGACAGCGCAAGAAAGGGTCAGGGAGGGCGGGGCTGCAAAGCACGCAGCGCCACACCACCACCACGCCTGCACCAGGACGCGTAGAAGGAATCCAGGGAGTCCGTGGCCGGGATGATGGCTGCCAGGAAAAGCGCCCTTTTCGAATGCACAGCCCCCTCCAAAGGGCCCCTTTCCCCGAACAGCCCCCCGCGGGATGCGGGCAGGCGAAGCCTGCAGTCGTATCCGGCGCACCGCCGCACACCGGCCCGAATGGGCATCGCAACCAGGAAGCTCCAGGCGACCGGCCAACGGTGGGCCCCAGCCTCGCACGGCATTCCGAGCCGAACCCGGCAACAATAGCGACGACAGGGCGGACGCCGAGGGTAGAGGCGGCGGACCACGCGAAGCGTCGACGGGGGGTCCCCGTCCAGCCACCCGTCCGGGCCAGCGGCGGGCGTGCTGCCAGGAGGGGAGAGGCGCCTGTTTTCCTCGGACTCAGTGGCACTGCAGTGCCTCTAAGGGAGCACGTTTGCGCCGCAGGCCAGTGCCGAATGCAGCCTGTGGGCTGCAATCCGCTGCCAGTGGGCAGCGATGCTGCCAATGGGCAGCACGGCACCCCCATCGAGGCCCTGTGTCTCTCACATCCGCCGCTGCCAGACGCGACGCGCCATGGGCGAGCCTGACCGGGCCCCCTCGGGGGGCGGGTCGGCTGCCAGTGGCCCCGGCGCGGCTGCGGCCGCTGGGGCCTCCAGGTCGCCAGATGCCGCTGCTTCGAGCAAAATCCTCTTCCGTTTTCCATCCGTGAAGCGGGAGTAAAACGAGCGCATGACTTCCGCTGAAGCCCACCCGCCTTGGGCCTGGATGACCTCGTCGGTTAAGCCTTGTGACACCCGCCACCAGTGCGCGCCTCCCTTCCGAAAGGAATGGGTGCCCACGTCGCGATCTCTCAGAACCCGAGCAAGGCTTCGCCGGACCGTCTCGTATGACACCGGGCGAAGGTCCGCGCCGCCAGTTACGCAGAACAGCGGGCCTTCGGGCTCCATGCCGTAGGTAGCGTTGCGCTGCGTGAGCCACCGCCGCACAAGTAAGAGCGGACACAAAGCTCCCATCGACGGAAGCGCTGGCAACCAGCACAACATCCCTTGGCCGAACGGGTCGTTCTTCTGCCTGCGGACACGCAGCTGCACGCAACAATCCGCGTCGACCAAGTCGCGGAGCTCGAACGCCAGCACCTCTGCCGAACGACGAATACAGAAAAAGGCCACGCCAGCTAGGGCGGCATCCCGCAGGCCCGCGGGGGTTCCAGTGTCCAGCCGGGTCCGCTGGTAAAACGCCAGCTCCTGCACGCTCAAGGGGCGTTTGGCCCTGCTGCCCGTATGATCTGCCAACTTCTTTAAGCCGAGCCAAAAGTGCAGGGCCCGCGGCGTCCACGAGGCCTCGAACAAGTGCACGCAGTCGCGTTCGACATGCCATGCGCGCACCGCCGCCTTCGCGGTGGTGATTGTCGTCCATGGACGCCCCACCAAGCCCGTGAACAGCGTCATGACCTTCACGTCCGTGTCTGCAGGGAGAAGCTGCAACGCCGCGTCAGCCTCCACGGCGCTCACAGCGCCTCGCAGAATCGCGTCGTAGCGGTCGCGAGTCGACTGTTCCCAGGCTGCGGCAAAACACTGTCGGATAGCCGCGGCAGCTTTCGCCTTGGCGTCGAGCTCTAGCGGCCGGCCTGCCGCGGTGGTGAGGAGTGCCAACGAGGCGGCCGGCCCCTTGAGCCTCCTGCCCCCAGGCGCGTCCTGCGACGCCATCGCGCCCGACGCTGCTGGCCGAGGCTCAGGAGCTGGGCCGCAATCGCCGCGCAGCAGCGGCGGCTGCCCTCCAGGTGCGAGCGCTGGGGCACGAACGCCGCTGTGTGCCGGCAAAGCGTGGCCTTCGGGGTCCTGCGCCTTGGCCCGGGTCTCTGGCGGCGTCAGCAAGCCGCCATTGCACGCCGCCCTGCGCCGGTCCTGTGGTCTGGGAGAAAAATCATTTTTCCTGATCCAATGCATGGGGCCGAAAAGGCTACGGAGAGGAGCGGGAGGAGGTGCAGGGGGGGCGGCGCCGGGGGCAGGAAGCGGCGGCAGCAAGCCCGGCCGTTCGCTAGCCCCTGCTGCTACTCCCTCTCCGCCAGAGATCCAGCATGATCCCAAACAATGCTCGCACTTGCCGCTCGCACACTGCTGCTACCATTTTCGCAAGGGAACCTGCACGATCCCAAACAATGCTCGCACCATGGGGGATTATCTAGAGACTCTGAGCGAAGCCTGCTTGGCACGTTGAGAATGCGCGACCCCGCCGCTGGGGGGCCACGGAAGCGCACACATGAACATCCGACCACACGCCCTTGGCGCGCAAGCCGCTCCCTCCCCGGACCCCAGGCAGAATCCCGGCCCACAGAGGCAGATGAATGAGTGATTATTTTGGGCGTGGCGCTCGCGTGCGCTGCGTGTGATATGGATGGGGGTTCGGTTAGCAGAAAAATGTATGTAAAATATGGAAGACGCAGGCTGCGCTGCGATCCCGAGGCACACGTGCACATATTACATGTATCTCGGCGGGCGGCCGGCCGGGCTGCTGAGCCGGCGGCCTAGTGCGGGCAGTCAGATACCCAGTGGAGGATGCCATCCTTGCGCCCGGCCTTCGTGCACTTCGTGCATGGGATGAAGCACGGATTGCCGGCGTCGCGGCACTCCTTCAGCGAGTGCCTCACTGCCCCCTTTTTGCTCAGGAGGCAATTCCGGCAGATCACGCGCGCGACCTCCATCATCGCCTGCCGGTGCACGTCGTCGAGCTTGAACTTCTCGCCCATCCAGGCCTGGATGCGAGCCGGGGAAGCGTGCGAGGCTAGCTTCTCTAGCTCCGCGGTGAGTTTGCTGACCAGCTGCTTCTTGGCGGTCCGGGTGGAGCCCCCTCCGCCCAGAGAGGCCTGCGCCGGCTGGCCGGTCTGGAGCGGCTGCTGCCCCGGCTCGACCGCCCGGGCGGTTTTGGGCGAAGGGCCGCCCGACCCCGAGCCCCTGTCCGCGGCCGCGGGGCGCTTCTGCGGGACGCCGCGCGCCACGAGAGCTGCCTCGCCCAGCAGGACGTCGACCCCGAAGTCCTTGACCAGGATCTCCGTGTCCAGCGGCGAGTTGGCGGACGCCTTGGTGGTCCTCGTCTTGTACGACTTGATGACGAAGTAGACAAGGTCCATCAACTCCGCCCGCTGTTCAGCGGCTTTTGCTGGCCCGTCCTTCTTTGCAGCCTGTGCGACCGTGTGCCGCTTTTCCAAAAGTGAATGCAAATGGAGAAGGGAACGGGCCAACGCTTTGACCGCGCTGTCCGGCGAGTCAGCCCTCTCCTGTAGAAACACTTGTAGGCGGTCGGATCCCCCCCCACAGCTGGGCAAGCAGATAGGCTTCCACTTCAATCTGGTTGCGTAATTCAACGTGGCCGCGTTTTTCAAAGCGAGCAGCTCTGGGTTCTGCGGGCACGTCGCCTGCAAAGCGAGGACGTTTGCCATGGCTGGGTCTTTTGCGACCGCGTCCGCTGCCTGGGTTGCCGCCTCCGCCTCCACGACGAGGTTCCTCCAGGCCGCCGACCACTGAGCCGTGGTGAGGGAGCGGAGCTTGGCTCTGTACGGGTACTCCGCGTCCGCCCTCTGGTCGAACTCCTTCGAGAAGGCGGCCGTGCTCTCTCCCGCAGGCAAAAGGGCCTGCGAGACCGCCCTGGCGGAAGCGCTCGCGGCAGACACGTCGACGGCCTGGGCCCCCGCCTGCCCCGCGGCGAAGGAGTCGACGATCGCCTGGTAGACTTTGCCTCCCGGCTTGCTGGCCTCCTCGATTGCAATGGCAATCAGGTTCTTGACGGCTTCCTCGTCCATGGCCGTGGACTGTGGATGTGGACTGCGAAACAATCGGGAAGCTTTGTGCGCCAAACAGAAAAGGCACTCGAGCCGCTGGCTACGGAGAGGCACGTCTTCAAGCAGGGATAGCGGCAGTTATATAAGTGCAGGGGCGGGTTGTTCTTGTCACGCGCGGCGCGGTTGCCAAGGCCCCATGTGCAACTGAAGTGGCGTGCAGCAAGGAAGATGGATACGAAACCGCCAACACTCCACCGCCAAGGCGGTGACAAAAACAACCCGGACGGCATATATATAGCAGCGACAGCGATCCGGGTGGGATTGCGATGATGCGTTTTTATCGTTTGCGCTTCCGCCTGTTCGGCTGCCAGGACTGCAGCAGCAAGTACGGCAAGTCAGTGCGCGGCCCTCGGCTCCACGAGTCTCCGTGGAGCCACCGAAACAAGTCAGACCCGGCTGGCCAAGACCTGACCCGGAACCACCGCCGCAGCAGTGCGGGGCGGAACCAGGGCGCCCGGCTGTCTTCCGGGCAAAGTAGCACGATGCGCGCACCAGGGTTTTGCACGAGGTGGGCATTCAAAAACTCCAAGACGGATCGAAGCAAAGCTCGCGGCGGATGCGCCCAAACCGCGTGGCCGGTCAGGTCTGCCTCAAATGCTGTTGCCAAGAAGGTGCAATGGCATTCCTGCCGCCCCGGTCTGCGAACAGGTCCAGTGTGAACGAGCAGGCGCACCGTGCAACGATATCTGCCAGAACTGGCGTGCGAATCGCTGCCTCAAGAAAGGGATCAGAATTCCAACGCGAGGCGAACAGAGGATCCCTAGAGCCGAGGTCTGCTGTCCGATTGGCCGCGCCGCTCAAGTGGGGCGCCAGGGCCCAACAGGAAGCTGCCCGCTCTGCCCGTTCAAGTCGTTCTGCGAGCCGTTCGAGCCGTGGGATGGCGCCGTAGCGGACATTGATGTAATGTTCAGCCGCCTTGTTGTCCACCCTGAAAAGTATGCGCCAGCCACGGAATTCGTCGAGGTTGTCCTCCAGACACTGGCACGCGACCCACAACTCCCTGTAATTGATGTCGGCGGGCTCCGATAAAACTTCCAAATCAGAAAAGTTGTCGGGCCATGTGCCTGAGACAACCCGCGTGGAGTGGCAGAGGTGGTAGGACCAACCTTCGGACGTGGCGGCGTCTGTCTCCACGACGCGGATCTGGCCCGCTCTGGCGAGTGACTCCCACTGTTCGTACTCTGGCGACTTGTGGCCCCAAGTTGACAGCGAGCCCCCTTGGTCATGCAACACCTGAGTTGGTGGCGATCTGAACGCTTCTACCGCCCACTCGATGTTTTTCCGGCTCAACTCAGAGAGGCGGGCGACTGGATTAGCCTGAGGTGACCGGCTCCATAGTGCGTACACACCCGCCGAGTTTAGATCCGTCCAGATGGGATGAAGCCGGCGGCTCGCCTGCGGATAGAGCTCTGCAATATGAGATGCCAGGCCTACAGTGGAGGCCAAGTCTCTGGCGAGGAGAATTCTGCGGGAGTCCGCCTCCAGAACAGCGATGAGTTGCTGTCTGCAACGATCGCATTTCTCTTGGGCCACTGTGACAACCCCGAGAACGGTTTCGAATATCCACCCTATCCAGCTTTGACGGGTGTCTGGGGGCCTGATGCCAGTGGGCTTCGCGCTCACAGGGACGCCCGCTGTGAGGAAAAAGTCCACCGTTCGATCAAGCGCTGTCCAGGCCGAAGAGCAACGCCGCTCCACCCCGAGTAGATCGTCCACAAAATCGAGCAACTGCACGCCGCTCCTCTGTGCCAAGACGCGCAGGAGCTCTTTGATGGATCGGTCATTGAGCCCCGGGGCCGGCGACAGGCCGAAAGGCAGAAACCGGTATCGTCCGAACTGCCGCCTCTCGTGCGAGTAAAACCCGAGGAGGTAAGAATCAGCGTCGCACACCCGCCAATTAAAGAAGCAGTCTTGGAGATCTACGACATACAGGAAATCGCCTCGGTGCATGCGGCTGATAGCCATGTCGACTGTTCCGTGCGAAACCCCAACATGCGGTACACGTTCGTTGACCCGGCCCACTCGCAAATCCAATATCAGCCGAGCCTTCCATCGATCCTGTTCTGGAGCCTCTGGGGTTGAACCTGCGCGCTCTTTCAACAGCAACCCGCAAGGGTTAACGTTGAGGGGCGGCGGCCGTGGCGCCCCTGGAGGGAAAAAGGACACTTTGCCCAATTCCTCGAGCCTGCTCCACTCGCGTTCGGCCCACGAGCTGTGGGTTCGCACTGAAGGGTGGTTGGGCGTGAATCGCGCTTCTGCACGCGAAGCTCCCAAGGGCGCGCCTTGCTCCCAGAGCCGGATGAACTCGTCATGGGCCCCTGCGGCGGCCAGAAAATCCAGATCCAAAGTTAGCCCAGGGACGCCACTATACCACTGCATGCCGGCATTGCCCCTCTTTACCCCGTCTAGAAGGTCGCGAAGGCGGGCTTCCGCATCGGAGGCCGCCATGCTGGTCTCCAGAAGAGCTCGGGCCGAAACCGCAACGGACGGGGGGGGAGGGGGAACGGCGCGCGCCAGATCAATCGCTTGGCCCAGGATGGCCTGAGACACTCTGCACCTTCGGGCGGGCTCATGGGCGACACACGGTTGCCCGCGGAGCTACCGCAAGCACGCGGCGACCCCACCGCAAGCATGCGGGTGAGCGGAATGCTGGGCTCAGCGGCCCCCTGAACATCCAAAGCTGCGGACGAGCTAGCGCAGTCACGCGCCGAGCCCACCGCCCGCGCGATGGTGAGTGCACGGACGGTTCTCAGCGCGAGCGCGCGCGTAAGAGGAGGGGGGGGTCCCACGAAAGGGCTCCTGAGCGTCACAGGGTTGCTAGAAAACGAAAAGGCTGCTGGAACGCGCCTGTATTCAGCACGCGCATGCAGGCGAGCGCAACGATTGCTCCCCTGAGTGGGCTCCTGGGCGCCACAGGGTTGCCAGTAAAGCCAGCGCGGGCACGCGCCGCCCCCCGCGAATAAGCGAGTGAACGTCCACGGTGTCTCCCGTGAGTGGGCTTCTGGGCGCCACAGGGTTGCCGGACAGGCGGGCGCATGCACGCGCCGAACCCGCCGCAAGAATGCCAGGGAGTTGCCCGAGAACTGGCGCAGGCACGCGCCTACCTCAGCGCGGGCACGCGCGTGGGGGGAATGACTGCTCCCAAGAACGGGCTCCTGAGCGTCGCAAGGATGCCGAAGAAAAAATGCGGGAGCGCTGGCGCGCGCCCGAACAAAGCGCACGCCTGCGTGCGAGCGCAACGGTAGCTCCCATGAGTTGGGCTCCTGGGCGTCACAGGGTTGCCGGAAACGCTAGCGCAAGCACGCGCCAAACCCACCGCAAGCGTGCTAGTGAGCGAAAACGATGGCACCCCTGAGGGGCTCCTGGGCGTCACAGGGTTGCCCGAAAGCTAGCGAAGGCAAGCGCCTACCTCAGCGCTAGCACGCGCTTGAGAGGAATGGCTGCGCCCATAAGAGGGGCACCTGGGCGTCGCAAGGTTGCTGTGAAAAGGAAAGCGCTGGAACGCGCCGAACAAAGCACGCGCATGTGTGTGAGCGCAATTGCGGCTCCCACGAGAGGGCTCCTGGGCGTCACAAGGTTGCCACACCGAACAGCGCTGGAACGCGCTGCCGTCTGCTCCCACGAGAGGGCTCCTGGGCGTCACAAGACTGCCACACCGAACAGCGCTGGAACGCGCTGCCGTCGGCTCCCACGAGAGGGCTCCTGGGCGTCACAAGGTTGCCACACCGAACAGCGCTGGAACGCGCCGTCGGCTCCCACGAGAGGGCTCCTGGGCGTCACAGGGTTGCCACGCCGAACAGCGCTGGAACGCGCTGCCAACGGCTCCCACGAGAGGGCTCCTGGGCGTCACAAGGTTGCCACATCGAACAGCGCTGGAACGCGCTGCCGTCTGCTCCCAGGCGAGGGCTCCTGGGCGTCACAGGGTTGCCCATAACAACAGCTCGCACGGCTGCTACTGGCGTCAGGTAGCGCTTGAGCGAAAAGGCGAGAGGAAGGATTGGGAAGGGGACGGGGGGTTGGGTGGCGGGCTCCTCTGCTCCTGGAAGACGGGGTCGAGAGCTCCTGGAAGACGGGGTCGAGAGCCCAAAGTGCCACCGTTCTGTGGACGGCGACGTATTGTGAGAGCGCGCCGGCGTCTGTCCTATTCCCGCGAGGTTCTGTTACTCTTCCACGGCCACCGATGTCCCAGCTGCATGAGCGGAGCCGTGCGCCGAACGAGGCCGGACATGAAGCTCTCGGCGAGGCGGCGTGTAAGCATCAGCCTCCTCGCCTCCTCCTGCATGGGGGGGAGTGGGCGGGGAAGGAAAAGTGTTTTGGAGGGGGAAGGTCGGCGTCTGTTGTGCCGATGTGGCACCCGTGCGGGCACCTGAAGAACAGGAGCGCAAGCAGGCGCCACCGCTATACAGATGCTCCCGAAGGCGGGCTCCTGAGCGCCACAGGGTTGCCATGCAGGCAAGCACGTGCCTGCTGAGTATGTACCCGATGTGCGGGCTCCTGGGCGTCACAGGGTTGCCGGCTGATCTCGGCGGTGTGGGTGCGATCATTTCCCAAGTGGCGGGGCTGCAAAGCACGCAGCGCCACACCACGCCTGCACCAGGACGCGTAGAAGGAATCCAGGGAGTCCGTGGCCGGGATGATGGCTGCCAGGAAAAGCGCCCTTTACGAATGCACAGCCCCCTCCAAAGGGCCCCCCCCTCCTCCTCCCTCCTCCCTCCTCCTCCTCCTCCTCCCTCCTCCCTCCTCCTCCTCCTCCTCCTCCTCCTCCTCCTCCTCCTCCTCCTCCTCCTCCTCCTCTTCCTCCTCCTCCTCCTCTCCTCCTCCTCCTCCTCCTCCTCCTCCTCCTCCTCCTCCCTCTCCCCCTCCTGGAGGAGCAGCGACGTGCGCCTCCTCGAGGCGCTGGTGGAGACCTTCGTGGCCGGCGGGTGCGGGCAGGCCGGCACCGGAGGCTCCGAGGCCCCCGGCAGGGCCGCCCAGCCCGCCCTCAGGTGCCGCGGCGAGGAGGTCTGACCTCCGGAGGGAGCTCGCGCAGGCAAAGGGGGGGAGCGAAAAATGACATAAGCATGAGAACTCGGAAAGCCGCGCGGATTTCGCGGATCGGCGCTGGAGACCCCTGGCGGCGCCTCTGGCGCCGACCCTGGCGCCGCCCCTGGCGCGCTCCGCGCGCCAGGGAGAGGGGTCCAGCGCCGATCCGAGAAATCCGCGCGGACCTCCGAGTTTTCATGTTTATGTCATTTCTCGTTCCCCGAGCACGGACCAGCAGGACGCAACACCGAGCAGAAGCAAAGTCCTGAGCCTCGTCTTCGTCCTCTTCTATGTGTGCCGGATCGTGTGCCAGTTCGCCCGCGCCTTCGAAGTGTGCTGGCTCGTGTACAATTCCAACATTTTCAGTCTGCGCCGGTTCGTCCATTATGCCACCCACACCACGCCCACGCGATGCGAGTTACTGCCTTCTGCGCCTTGCCCAAAGGGCACGCGTCCTTCGGTGCCCAGTACCGCCGCCCTGCTCCGCTGAGCAGCGAAGGAGAGGAGGGAGGAAGAGGAGGAGCAGGAGCAGGAGGAGGAGGAGGAAAAGGAAAAACAACACCAAATGGAGGAGGATGAGGAGGCGGAAAAGGAGGAGGAGGAGGAGGAGGAGGAGGTGGAGGTGGAGGAGAGAGACAAGGAGGATAAGGAGGAGGAGGACGAGGAGGAGGAGGAGGAGGAGGAGGAGGAGGAGGAGGAGGAGGGGTCCGTAGCCATATTGGCTCAAGCCATTTTGGCTCAAGTGATCCATTTCTCGATGTGGTCGAGGACCCTTTCTCGCCCGCAGGTCCCACAGGTGGCTGCCCAGCCAGGGACTCCGTTTCCATATTTTTATATTGACTGAGCCCTTCGTGGGCCCACGTTCTGGCTCAAAACAACGACCTTCAGTTTCTTCCAGATTCCTGCTCCGCAGTCATGGGCAAGCCCGCTGGGCACGGCGGCGGCAGCGGCAGAGGCGGACCCAGAGATTACGCCTGGACATGCGGGACATGCCAACCTTCTACGTCGTGGAATCCATATCGCATGGTAAGAACACAGATTGGACTTCACCGCCCAGCAATCCCAGAGGAGGTTGGAAGGCGCGCGTCGAGCCCCGCGAAGGCCGAGGCCGCGGACGCAAATCCAAGGGCAGAGGCCGTCGTCGTGGGGGTTCCGCAGCGCCTGCAGATCAGCACCAGCAGTCTGGTTCGTTTTCTCCTGCTTCTCAGCCTCTTCAGCCTGATACGGATGGTGTTACCATGGAGGGGCCAAAGTCCAATGCACCCATCGGCCAGCATATTCAGCTCCTCCAGAACGTCCTTGACATGCTCACCAAGGACGGGGGCGACGCCCAGCCCGCTGCCCAGGCGCTTCGGGACAAGCTCGGGGCATTGCGTGCGGAGAGAGACGCTCAAAAGTCGGCCTCGCAGAAGCTCATGGTGGCCAGTGGAAGACTTCAGAAGTTGGAGCGCCAAGTTGCTTAGCACACAGAGAGCGTCAGCCTCCTGGAGACAGAAGTTCAGAACGCCAGGACGCACCTCCAGCAGCAAGAAAAGTTACTTCCCGAAGGGCAGGGGAACCTCGCGAAGGCCCGCCATCGGATGGAAGAGTGCCAGAAGGAACTCGCAGCTCAAGAGTCAGCATCGGCTTCATCAGCAGAATCGTTTCTCTCGCAGCTCGGCAAGGTCGCAGCCCATAAGGAGGGAGCTGACGCGCAGACGATCAAAAAGGCCCTGGACGTCCTGGGCCCGCTCCTGGTTGGGACCAAGCCGCCCTCGCCAGCACCAGCCGCGCCAGGAGCCGCTACTCAGCAGACCCCAGCGACGGCACCTTCGACAGCCCCTGCAGCCCGAGCAGCCCACAGAGATGACAGAGATTCGGATGATCGCCAGCTTCGTGCGCCAGATACTAGAGGTGATTCGCTACGCGAAAGGAGCCCCCGTGGACGGGGACGCAAAAGTGAGCCTGAGCCCGCGCGAGCTGCGCCTAAGGCCAAGTCGGCTGCCGACACTCCTGTCTCCAGCCAGAAGGCCGCCGCACCCGCGGGAGGAGGCCTTCCGAGCGAGGAGCAGCAGGATCTTTAGCAATCAGCCTAAGGTCCAGGCCCATTGCCCTCCCTCTGGACGCCCTCCCGACCCCTCTCACCCTGTGTCAGGCGGACCATCTTTCCACATTTGCATTATTAATGCCTCAGTATGGAAGCGAGCCTTGGAGCACGCCATGTGTAGCAAGGTCCACTTGATCCTGGTCCAGGAGCACGCGTTGCGCCAGGACAGGATTTCGGACGCCAGAAAGCGCTGCCTGGCCCTCGGTTGGGGCAGCTGTTGGGCTCCGGCGAGCCTCTCCGCCCAGGGGTACCCCTCGGGGGGAGTGTCTATCCTGCGCAAAAGCTATCTGGACTTTTGGTAAGATCCAAAGCAAAGCATTGTCTCGCGGGGCAGGATTCTCCATGCCTACTGTCGCCACGGAGCCCTGGGAGTGTTCAGCGTCTACTCGCGTTACTGGGTGACCAGTGTTGGGCTGGGGGCCGAGAATGTGAGGCTGCGCAAGCAGCTAGAGAACCTTGTGCTCACGCGCGGATTACCCTTCATTGCGGGTGGCGATTTCAATTTCACGCCAGGCGAATTTCAAGCCGGTCTGGAGCCACGCCGCTTCGGAGCAGACCTACTTTTCGACCCAGCGGTGCCGACGTGCCACATCAGCGATGCACGGCGTGCCCTGGACTACTTCGTCGCTAGCAGGACTTTGGCAAAAGCCCTCCTTTCGGTGGCCACGGACCTTGACGGCGATGCGCCTCCACGCCACTCGGTGGACCTCCATTTGAGAGCAGAGCATTTCTTTGTGCAGTTCGAGCGCCTGTGCAAGCGCGAAGTCACGCCAGTGCCCAGACCAGTTGGGCCATGCCGCCCGCCGCCAGACTATTCCGAGATGGCGCCCGCGACGCAACAGGCCCTGGAAAGTTTTAATGATTTTGAAAGTCATGTTGATATTCAGCCCGGGAACCTCAGCCCCGCCTACCGCGCCCCCACTCCGGTTGAAAAGAAAGGCCTCGAGCAGGCCCTCAATGGGGCGCGCGACAGGTGGTGCATTATGGCCTGGGAAGAACTCCGAGAGGTCTACCGTTGCGATGGGGCCCCGGGCCCGAGGGCGCCACGGGGGCCGCCCGTGCGAGATTGAAGCGGTTGATCTTCGTCGCCTGTTAATTACGAGGCGAAACACCATAATCTCGTGAGGCAGATGTGCGGGCTGGCTTCTCATGCGCCTCAAGGATAGCAAGAGCCCCCTGCAGAATTCGGACAGGCGCAACGCGCGACCAGCAAGCTGATCAGTCACACAAGGGGGATCCACAGGAATGGAAGACCAGTTAAAAACTTCTGGCCGAAAGGAAGGGGCTTTGCGTCTGTCTGCATCGACTTTGCTCCGGCGCCACTCCTTCCCAGGCTTGCGGATCTGTGCCCGAATGAGCTGCCTCTTGGCAGTTTGGACGTCGCTGTTGCCAGTCTTGAGGAGCTCGAACTCACCCTCCTTGCCAAGGGGCGCGGGCGCCAACGGGAGAAGTGGAACGCGCGGCGTTATGGGGCCTTGGCGGGGGGAGCTTCGTTGGCCCACCAGCGCATTAAGATTGCCCCAGGCTTCAAAGAAGAGGCAGTGGAGCTCCCAGACGGAACTCTCGTTGTTCAGCAGGTTCGGTAAACAATGAACGCGTGGAAGTCGGCGCGGAGAGTTGGCCAACGGCAGGGGTTGTTTTTGCATGGGGAAAATGAACTTACGGGCCCCAGCGGGCCCCGCGTTGAAGGCATCAGAAACTTGTCGCGGAGCCTCCAAGCTGCTACGATTGCCATTCCCGCCACTTTTCAGAGCTCTGTGATTCTGGGCTCAGCGTTCTCTCGGAGATTTTGTCACGGCGATGGACATCCTTGGGAATGCGCCAGCCACTTTGCGACAGCTGATCGTGTGCCTTCACAGAAAGCCGAAGGAAGGCAGACGACCGATAGGCATCTTCCAACCGGCCACCCGAGTTTATTCTAAAAGCCTGTCGGACGCCTGCCGCAGATGGGAATGGGAGTCAGCCTGGGGCGCCAGCAAGTTTTTCAACGTGGCCCCCCATCTGTCGACCGCTGATGTTGTGCGGAGGCAAGCTGTGCGCAATGATCTCCAGCATAACCAGGGTAAGTTTGCGGGGGGCCCCCTGGGCGACTCGAAACAACGCTACGAGCATGTATCCCACGAGACCGTGTGGGCCGAAGGGGAGAACGCCCATTGCCCGTCTTTTTTTTCAGATTCGCGATATCCAGTTACCGTTGGCCTCGTCGCCGTTTGACGGGTTCGGCTCTGAGCGAACCCCATCCACCCACAGAGAGGCATTGTGGCGGGATCAGCTACTGCCACGTGCGAAATTAAACAATACACGGCGCCGGGCACCACTGAGATCAGCCTAGTCCAAGACGAGGACCTCACCATCCATATTGACGATGTCACGACGTCGGTGGCCATGCCGACCGTAGAGTCCTGCCTGAACAGCCTTGCAAGTCTCGCGGGGCAGGTGTTCGACCTGCTCACCAACAAATTGGAGCCCCCCATTGCCTTGCAGACCATGCAGTTCACGACCAACTCCCACGACGTGGCCAAGCTAGCCCCCCAGGCCCTGGGTAAATATGGACACGCTGTCTCGGGACACGCGGTCAACCTCGGGGTTGGCCTCGCGATCGGTAGGGCCCCAGGGTCGAAAGGGGCCAGGGCCAAAGACAACCCCCGCTGGTCCAACGCAAAGAAGAGGCCCCCGCATATAGACAACCTCCGAGGGGGCTAAGACGGGAAAAAAAATCGCGCGGGCTCGAGCCCAGCACGACGCACGGCGAAGAGGTTCAAGGCCCCCCAGAAATGCGGGCCCTGAGGCTCCAAATGGCTACGAGTATCGGGCTGTGGGGAGCGGGGGTCAACCTTGACCTTGCTTGGCGCCTGCGTCCGAGCAAGGGCCCCGCTTTTCATGCTGCCGCCACGCTGGAGAGATCCTGTGCTGAATGGTGGTGCACCACCGACGCGGCCCCTCTGTGCCGAGGGCAACTTCACGGCCCGAGAGTTGAAAGAAGCATATGAACTTGCCAGGCACCGGTTTGAAGCCCACTTCAGGAAAGATCGCTGGCAGCTCGCGGCCAGCAGCCCGCTGAGCGATGCGACGCTTTGCAAGCATCATGGCATTTAGCGGGCCATGCGAAAGCGAGTTCGGCCCAGGGAGTTTTCGTAATTTTACCCTGCCCCCCCTCCCCCCCCCGCCCCAGGTTGCGGACCTCTTCGGCGAAGACCTCCAGAGGTTGACGCCCCAGGGCGTCGCTGGGGGGGGGGGGGGCTCCAAGGGATTGAAGGGGGCCAGAGCCAGTCGCATCCGCAAGAATGGGCTTTGGACCCATCCTGCCTCTCGGGCTTGGGGCTCGTCCAAGCCTGGTGTACAAGACAAGCAGATCTTGCGGCAGCTCTTTACGGGATGCTACCCTACCGCCTCCCTTTTGCACCGGAGAGGAGACCTTGTCGCTCCAAAATGCACCCCTTGTGATGCCATAGACACCACCTTCCACAGGGTGTGGGTTTGTCCGTTCGGGGTTCCTCGTCGACACGAGCTGGGCCCAGCCTTGATACAAGAGGCCCTGGATGCGGGCCCACAGGGCCCCTTTGTCGGCTGCTCGTGGATGGATATGCAAGAGATCCGCAACCCACCTCCGCAAACCGAGAGTATATAATACGTCGACAGAAGGGGGTGATATTGAGCCCTTCGCGTTCGAGGATCCAGGGGCGGAAATTTCAGTTGATGGTTCGGTTGCTCACCCCGCCGCCCCCCTTCTGGCCCGATGGGGATGGTGCGCGGTTGAAGTCAATGAACTCGGGGGCCTGAAGAGGGCCGTCCGAGGGGTTCTTCCGGATGCGTTCCGTGTAATGCAAACATTGCTGAGTATCATGGCTTGCTCCGCGTCAGTGCCCATATTGACCTGCAGGTGCAGGATTGGCAGATTTTCCAGGACCTGCGGTGCGCATGTGCGCGAAGCTGCAGCCCCAATCCGGGCCAGAGACGGACGACGACGGCAGGCTGGACATTGGCGCCGGATAAATCAATTGATCAATTTTGTCGGAAGGAATATACATAGAGTCAAGACCCACCAAAGCCTCACTTGGGGGAGAGACCTTGAGCACTTGAGGGTTCAAGCCAATAGTTGGGCCCATGCCATTGCGAAAGAAATTGCCAAGAGTCAACTTGATCCCTCGGACGTTGATCGAGTTGAAGCAGCCGATAAGAAATTACACACTGTGTTCTTAAGCTTTTACTTCTGTCTTGGGGTCTTGGGGCAGAGCCAGGGACGCGTTTGGTGACCTAGCGAGGAGGCCCACAGTCCCGCCCCCAAAGACCTCGATGCGAGTTTTTCCATGATCGCAGGTGGACGCGCAACAGATGGCAGTGCATCCAGTGCGGCAGATCCATTGCCTTCCCGTGGGTCTGCCATCGCAGCCCGTGCGTGCCTTTGCCCAGATCGCTCTTCCAGCTGCTTGCGAGTGGCAGCCGACCGACGCCGCCCCACACCTTGTGGGCTGCGACGATCGGGGCTTCAGGTGCTCCCGTAATTTTCTGTCTGGAGTGCGGATCGTACTCCACGGGGGGAGCGGTCCATCTGGCTGGCATTTGCACCCGCATCAAGCCTCGGCAGATTAGCCAGCTCCGAGGCTGCAAACTCCCATACCCCAGGGGGGGGAGGAATTCTCGGCCCTGGAGGATAGAGCTCGGGATCACCCCTTTTTGCCTGCTTGGACATGGGGTGGTGCTCCCATAATAGTATCCCTTTTTTCTGGTGCGGGTTTCCGTGCCGCTCGCCCGCCATGTCTGTCGTGCGGGCGTTCGGGGGTTCCGAACTCTGTTTGGCGTCCCTCGCTCTCTCTCTCTCTCTCTTTCTCTCTCTTTCTCTCTCTCTCTCTCTCTCTCTCTCTCTCTTGCAGGCCGTGTATTGTATATGAGGAGGGGGAGGAGGAGGAAGGAGGAGGAGGGGGAGGAGGAGGAGGAGGAGGGGGAGGCGGAGGAGGAGGAGGGAGGTAAGGAGGAGGAGAGGAGGAGGAGGAGGAGAGGAGATGAGGGAGCAGGAGGCGGGGGAGGAGGAGGAACAGCAGGAGGAGGAGGAGGAGGGGGGAGGAGGAGGAGGAGAGGGCGGAGGAGGAGGAGGAGATGAGGAGGGCGGAGGAGGAGGAGGAGGAGGGAGGAGGATCAGGAGGATGAGGAGCAGGGAGGAGGAGGAGGGAGATCAGGAGGAGAAAGAGAGGAGGAGGAGGAGGAAAGGAGGAGGAAGAGGAGGAGGAGAGGAGGAGGAGCAAAAGCAAGAGCAAAGAGCAAGTGCAAGCGCAAGAGAGGAGGAGGAAGGAAAGGGGGAATATCATATGAGAAGGAAGAGTTGGAAGGGAGGAGTGAACTGGAGGAGGAGGAGGGGAGGGGGGAGGGGGGGGGGAGAGGGACTAGGGGGAGGAGGAGGACGAGGAGAGGGGATGAGGAGGAGGAAGAGGAGGAGGAAAGAGGAGGAGGAAGGAGGAGGAGGAGGGGAGGAGGATGGGGAAGAGGAGGAGGAGGAGGAGAAGATGGAGGAGAGGGGGGAGGAGGAGCAAGAGGAGGAGGAGGAGGAGGAGGAGGAGGAGGAGGAGAAGGAGGAGGAAAAGGAGGAGGAGGAGGAGGAGGATGAGCAGGAGGAGGAAGAGGAGGACGAGAGGGAGGAGCAAAAGGAGGCCCGTGAGGTCCTGGCTCGTTTCACGAGGCCAGATTTTCGCTCAGAGCCTTTTGCTGGCGGTCCTCTACCACGACGACCTGCTCCGCTGAGCAGTGGAGGGGCGAAGGAGTGGATTCACGACGAGCACGAGCAGGAGGAGGAGGAGGAGGCGGGGGAGAAGCAGGAGGAGGAGGAAGAGGAGGAACAGGCAATAGGAGACATGAAGAGCAAGGGAGGCAAGGGGGGGGCAGTGGGCAGGAGGAGGGGCGTGGAGGAGAAGCAGGAAGATGGAGACCACAGTGATATTATCAACATCAGAAACCACTCACGAACGTAGGGAAACAACTTGCGGTAGTCTCAAGCGAGGGCCTCATTTGAAAAAGGAGCCGCCCTTCAGTCTTGCAGCCGCTGCATAAGTTTACATGTCGGTTCATAGAGCTGGAGCAAGTCTTAAGTGAGAGCCGCCTATGGACGCAAACCAGCCTCCATCTTCGCAAACGTTGGGAGCTTTCAAAACGAATGCGCACGGTGCTAGGGCGAGAGCCGAATTTGACACACAGACACACACCGGATTTGGCGGCCGTGTAATTGCCGGATTGTTTCAAGGCGAATGCGCTCGCCGCTAAGGCGACAGCTTCAGTTTGAAAACGCACCAGCCTCCATCCTTGTAGATGCTCGGACTTGTAGCGCGAACGTGCGCGGCACTGCAGCGACAGCCGATTTTTTTGGAAGCCACCAGCCCACCGTCCTTGTGACTGTTGGATGTTCTTTGAAGCGAGTGGTCGCGGCGCTCAGGCGAGAGCCGCATTCTGGAACCTGCGGGCCATCTATCCTTTGAGCCGTTGGAGCTCGTCTTGCTTCAGGACTGCAGCCTGCGCGGAATTCTCGAGCGAAGCGCCCGTCCGGGCCCACGGACACCTATGGTGGTGCGACAATCGGGGGGGGGGACTATTGACAAGGAAAGGCGGTGGAGGAGGAGGGGGACCAGTGTAAACCTAAGACGCACAAGCGATGTTGCCACAAACCCTCCCTCCGAGCTCCTTCCTCACAGGTCCCTGCAACAAATTGTTTTCATTGCTTGAAGTGCCCCATTGGACGACAACCGTCTGAGAATCCCCAATCGTGTCAAAGCACAATTCCTGGGACTCCAACAATCCTAGGCCGTTTCCAGAGCACCATTCATGGGACTTCACAACCGCGAATCAACGTGACCGTTGCATCCTGACAATGTCTTATCGTGCCAGAGTGCCCTTCCTTCAAGGGCAGAAAAAATCGCCCCTACCCTGGTTTACTAGGCGCTGTGCGCTGAAACTCCTGTGGGCTGACTGGGTAAACCCTGCGTGATGTGCCGCGTCCTGGCGGCTCTAGGTTCGGGGGTTCCAAGGAGGTTTACAGAGCACGCACTTGTAACCCAGGGTGGGGCCGTTTTTTCATCCCTGAACATCCCTGAATTCCTGGGAGCTCAGCCGCACGAAGCCTTGGCACTGTGGCAGACTTGAGCGTTCCGCGAGGTTCGGAGCGGCGGCAGCAACGCCCTCGATGTGCTCTCTGCGGCCCGCCGCTGCTCGCCCACTGCACGTTTTTGTTCATCGCTCTCTTTCGCCGGCCGGGGCAGCCGGGCGCGCTCCCTCTCCAGAGGGCACGGGCGGCCGGAGCACCGTGGGGGACCGGGACCCCCGACGCCTTTTCTTTTTTCATGACGTGGACCCCCGGATCTCTTGGCCCAGTCCTGGGGACCTGTCTCTCTAGGCCTCCTAGATGGGATCGGAGGAGATGGGGTCGGAGGATCGCGCCACATCGGCGATGCATCGGCGATTCGACTTGACGCCGAGCCCGATTTCCTCCACGCCGACGTCGCCGATGCATTGGCGATGCGGCACGATCCCCCGACCCCATCTACTCGGACCCCCTCTAGTCTCTCCTCATGAGGTGTTCCGTGGACGGCCCCGAGGCCCATAGCGAGGGCCCCCAGAGGCCGAGAACGGCCGACAAACTTTCGTCGCGGCTTTCAATGACCCGAGCCCAAACATCCGGCTGCTCATTTTTTTATGCGTGGGCCCTGGAGGTCCGGACCACTCCCGTATAGGGCCGGTGTTCCATTCTGAGCCGTTTCTTGACGCTGCCGAGGCCCGGCGCGGGCCCCCCGAGGCCGAAAGCGGCCAACGGCAAAAACGCCTGCTCCAGGTCTTGCGGAGCTTCGGACCTCTTGGGGAGGCTGGAAAGCAGCGGTGCGCAAGTATACTGTCTAGCGCGCGCTCGTGCCCTTGCTCATGTGCCTGCGGACGCGCGGCTTCATCCATCCATTCCTTCCAAGTCTTGCGGAGCTTCGGATCTTTGGGGGAGGGCCGTGGGGGCTTCGGCAGGCTCCGGCAGCTCTCCCGCGCGGCCTCCGCGCCCGCCCAGCGCCTCGGCCCGCTGGCGGAGCTTCGCACCTCTGGGGGAGGGCCGCGGGGGCTTCGGAAGGCTCCGGCAGCTCCCCTCCGCGCGGCCTCCGCCGCCGCCCTCGACGCCTCGGCCCGCGCGGCGCGGCGCTGGGCGCGGGCAGCCGCCGCGAATTCGGGCCCGCGGGCGCCTCACCTCGGCCTGCGCCTGCGCCTCGTGGCACGGAACGGCTCCTCTCCTCTCGCCTCTCCTCCTCCTCCTCTCCCCTCCCTCCTCCTCCTCCTCCTCCCCTCCCCCTCCTCCTCCTCCCCCTCCCCCTCGCCTCCATCTCCTCCTCCTCCCCCCTCCCTCCCGCCCTCCCTCCCTCCCTCACTCCCTCCCTCCCTCCCTCCCCTCCCTCCCTCCCTCTCCTTTCCCTTCCCCTCCTCCTCCCTCCTCCTCCCTCCCTCCTCCGCCTCCTCCTCTCCCTCCTCCTCCTCCTCCTCCTCCTCTGTGGGCTGAAGAGACGGGAGTCAGTCAGAGCGCCAGATCTTGCAGGATCCTGCAGAGCCAGGTTCGCACTGATCCGGGCTTGGGCGCAGGATCCCGCAGGATCTTGCAGGATCTTGCAAAGCCTGACTGGCCCGGATCTGGATTGACCCCTGGTCGGTAGGTCCCCGATCCTCAGCCTCAGGGGCAACGTTAGTCAGGCGATCGCAGACATGGATGAAGGGGGCGTGGAAGAGCGACCAGTCCCGTTTCCATAGGAAATCGCGGATTTCCGCCGCCGAGCGAGGCGGCCCCGGCCGCATTTTGGGGAGGGCATTTTCCCCGATCCATGGATTCTTCGACCGCGCGCCAAATCCATGGATCGCTAATCCATGTTTGCGCGCCCCCGAACATGAGCGCGTAAGCTGCCCGCGTAAGCTCACGCGTGAGCACCTTGGTCTCCATTGTGGCGTGATCTCGCGCAAGACCCGTCTTTGATCGCCGCTCACCTGGGGACACGCTCAAGGGGGAACGCATCGCCCCCCAATCGGCCATTGATCGCCGATGGGGGCCCGATAGCCCACGCCGCCTGGGAGAGTGCGGTTTCGCTCGCGGGGCCCATGGCCCATCCATCCTCGATGTGCATCGTTGGCTCAATGTTTCGATGTTCCCCCCCTGAGCTGGACCCTCTAACGTTCCTCCTCCCCAGTCGGGTCGGGCGAAAAAGGGGGCGTGATTGGGAAAGGGGGGGGTCACGAAGTTTGCTGCGTGCAGCCGGTTTCGGCCCCGCCTGGCGCATTTCTCGATGCATCATGCAGTCAAGACGCTTGAAGGAGGAACAGTTTGGGTTCGGAAAAGGGGCTCGACGTTCCTTGGGTCCTGCCATGGCTGTCCCTCGAGTCCTCCTCGTGCACACAGGCGCTTCTGGGGCCAGAGAGGGTCTTCGTTCCTTCTCTGGCGTTCCCTTTTGCAGCAGCTTGACTGTATATGATCAGGAGGGGGAAAAACACACAGACACAATTAATCGTCGATTCCCAGAACATATGGGAAAATATGGGAAGTGGGGGGGGAGACAAAAACCCAGAACATATTGGAAAATATGGGAATATTTTGATTTGTGTGTATTTATTTGTGTGTCCTGGGGCCCCTTTACATGAGGCGGTCAAGAAACGGCCTCGCCTTCGAGGATCGAACGGCTCGTCATCTCTTCCTCTGCAGATAGGCGGCGTCGGCGGAAGGCCGGCGGCAGCCCGCGTAAGTATCACGAGGCCATCTCCGCCGGCAGAAGGCTGGCAACAAAAAAAAACAAAACAAAAACAAACACATAAAAAAGGTAAAAAGTGCGCCTCCCAAGCGATCGCAAGGTGTTTTGGATTCAGAGTTCATGGATCCCGCCACATGGGCGCCTTCGGCGCCGGGAGGCGGCAGGGGACATCAGCCACGGCAGCTTCACGTCGTGTGGACCAGCGGCGACCCCGCCGCCAGCGTTCAATGTTGGACGCCGCCCGCGACCCAGAATCGGTCGGTGTTGAACGCTCTGACCTCCGGGAAGCGGTCGATCATTCAAGGTTGAACGACCCCCACGGTGTCAGGAACCGACGTTGGAGTCGACACGACATGAACCCGCGGTAAGCATGCAGTGGAGTCCCATGCCAAGAAACACCCTGGTTGCCGCCAGGGTGCCCTGGGTTTCTTTGGTTTCGATGGTTTTGCGATGGACAGCGTCACGTTCCCACACCAAAAATCAATGGAAGTCCTGGGGTCTCAGGGTTGGGTTTCTTGTGGAACGTTTCTTGTGGAAGGGCCTCCGCTGTACATTTTCAGAGGTCCGCGCGGATTTCTCGGACCGGCGCGGGAGAGCCTCACGGCGGCGCCTCCGGCGCCGCCCCTGGTGCGCGTTGCGAGCCAGAGATGGGGTGTTCACAGCGTCGACCCCGGAAACCTGCGCGGAGCTCTGAGAGCTCTGCCTTGGCGTGGGCTCCGCGCGGGAGCGCCGCGCGGAGCCCACACCGAGGTCGACACGACGCGAATCTGGCCGCGCGTGGGCCCAACCTGCCCAGGAAGGTGCAGATTCACGATCTCAGGCCTATCGCCGATCTATCGGCGATGTATCGCCGATTCCAGGTCGATGCATCCCCCCCTATGCTTACGTCGGGTCTGTTCCTCGACAGGAGGAATATTCAAGCATAGTTTTAATGATAGTCTGGCGACGTTTTCATACTTGTTGCGTTTTGTGATATTTTGGCTTTTATCCCCCAACCATCCTGTGGTGCTGGGTCCTCGTTTTGAAGAGACGGCCCCCGCGTTCCTTCCCTCCCTCCCTTCTTCCCTCCTTCCTTCCTCCTCCCCCTCCTCCTCCCTCCTCCCATCCCTGCCTCTGCCATGCGCATGTCCTCAGCGCTTCGTGGCCACATAGGGAGCTCTACCCAAGGCCCCAGTGGCGGTGTCCACATGCGTCTCCCCCACCCAGTGCGGCGATTCGTGGCACCATAGGGAGCTCCGCCTAAGGACCCAGTGGCGGTGTCCACATGGGTCTCCTCCACCCAGTACAGCGCTTCGTGGCTCCATAGGGTGCTCCACCTAAGGTCCCAGTGGCGGTGTCCACACGCGTCTCCCCCACCAAGGACGGCGCTGCTTGGCCCCATAGGGAGCTCCACCTAACGCCCCAGAGGCGGTGTCCACATGGGTCTCCCCCACCAAGCACAGCGCTTCGTGGCTCCATAGGGAGCTCCACCTAAGGTCCCAGTGGCGATGTCCACATGCGTCTCCCTCGCCCAGCACAGCGCTTCGTGGCCCCATAGGGTGCTCCACCTAAGGCCTCAGTGGTGGTGTCCACATGCGTTTCGCCCACCCAGCACAGCGCTTCGTGGCTCCATAGGGAGCTCCACCTAACGCCACAGTGGCGGTGCCCACATGCGTCTCCCCCACCCAGCACAGCGCTTCGTGGCCACATAGGGAGCTCCACCTAAGGCCCCAGTGGCGGTGTCCACACGCGTCTCCCCCATCCAGCACAGCGCTTCGTGGCCACATAGGGAGCTCCACCGAAGGTCGCAGTGGCGGTGTCCACATGGGTCTCCCCCACCCAGTGCAGCGCTTCGTGGCCCATGGGGAGCTCCACCGATGGCGATACCCACAACTGCGGTACCCACAACTGCATCTGGTTGGGTTCTTCGCCAGGCTAGTTTTTTCGCCCACAACCTGCCTGCAGGGGGACATGCCCGACCTAACCCTATGCCCATCCCCCCCTATCGTTGCCCCTCAGCCACACCGCAGGCGCGGTGCCTCCGAAGGCTCCCCCCGGCGCTAGCAGCCCGGGGTCGCCGCGCCTCGACCGCCGCCCTTGCCTTCGCGGCCGCCTCCTCCTCTTCCTCCTCCACCTCCTCCCACGCGCCCGCCTGCTTGGGTCAAGTCGGGCATGTCCCTCTACGGAAGGCAGATCCCAGAAAAGTAAATAGATAATCAGGAGACGATGTTTCTCT